TATATATATAATAAATCAAATAAATTTATTTTTATTTTCTGTCTCAAATATTGAATTATTGACAAATTGCTGATCACAAAAGACCTTTTGACGACGTCACTTTTTCCCTTTTTCCCCTCTGATTCTTTTCAACCACGAATGATTCACATTTGGGTACACGCTATGTATTTTACAGGATACCTCAAATATCTTGTGACAATCTTAACGGTGTTCGCTTACAAACCGGATGAGATAACGTCGCAGGTTTACATGACATATCTGCATATGTGGACAGAACCATAGTTCACGGACTCATGAATCAATGTAACTATCGTTCACTTCTATCGTGGCTCCTCTAAATGCCCAAATAACGAGAACCGTAATTAAAGCAATATTAGAACGTGCGAACTCGTTAGGTTTAACCTCTAAATGTAGCGGATTTAAAATCTGGGCCAAAAGTAGAGCAAAAGGTCGAAAAATTTTAGGAAAAAAGCGAAAAAATACAAAATCTTTAAAAAAAAATCAACTGTTGAGTCTTATTAGGCCAATTCAATTGACAATAAATACTCCCTTCTCGAAGACAATCCTTATTTTTTACATTAAAATTCCACGCTATTTATTGTAAAAATGGCTTTTTACGTTAATTCTTTGAACGAAATGTATTAATAGCTCAATAAAATATGACGAAAATACCTTCAGTATGTGTCCACTCTTAGCTTGCTGATACTAAGACACTGATTGCAGTAACCGTAATCAGTCAAGCTAGATACTCTAGTGAAACCTCATCTGTCAGACGGGTCAGTAATAACTGTCATACATATCGAACAATCAACGAGTGTCTGGCAGTTGTAGCCAATTATTTTTATAAATGATAAAAGACAACAGATACCTCAAAAGTAACTCTAATTTAATATAAACGCAACGTATGTTTGCGCCTTTTAATGATTACTGTACAGTGATTATTAATTAAAAATAATTACTGATATTGCTGCATGAGAAAGCCGAATATCTGTTTCTGAATCACCTCAGTCTTACTCTAACATTCAGCCTTTGTGTTCGATAAAACACCCTCCGAAATATTACATGTTATACAAACTATACAAAAAAACGTCAAGGAGTTAAGCATGTTAATCATTGACGGGTGGGTCCAGTTCAGAATTAATAAACAGTTATATAGCAGGACAAATTATGTATATAGTAATCGCTATCGAAATGTATAGAGTGTTGATATGGTCGTAGCTTCAAACATTTGTGTTCGACGCGAGCCTTAAGCACGTAATAGAAATGTCTTTCAATTTACTCTCGAAGCCCAAAAACAGTTTGAACTCTTCGATGCACTGGCATAGTGTGATGGCTAAATGTTATTGTTGATAAGCAAAATGAGTAAACTCCTAACTAAAACTGCTGCAAGAGGTCAACAGCGTTCGCTACATTTCCATCGGTCACAATAGAAAAAAAATAAAACATTCTTAAACCTGCTATTTAACAGCGGACAGTGCACCAAATGGTCGGTTCAACTGCTACTCGATATTGCTGCTGGCCTATTTCTATATCGCAAAAAAGCATCTTCGACGGGCAGAGATACTACACTAAGTGAATTTCATTAGGTAATTTGTAAACACTAATCCGAAAATTTCCATTGAGATTGATTTTATTCAAAGTACTAGTAACATCTATACTGTCGTCGGACTAAAAAACAGAATGATCATCTACTAGTTGCGGTGTCTACGTACAATTAGCAATTGAACATGTACGATATACGTTTTAGTCATTGTACTATGACATACTCTTAGGCATTTTTCTGCGTTCGCGTACCAATGATGTAATGTTCAGATTCAAATTCACCGTATAACTGTAGAAACCTCTGTCGGTGATCTACGATGTTGTGCAGGGTCCTATGAAATGCGTCAAAATATTTATACGATACGCTAACAAAACGATATAAAAATACATTCAAATAATAATAATATAAATAATAAAATAAATTTTAGAAAATATTCAGCACTATTCGTTGTCGAATCTATTTGTTATATGTATGCTAATGTTACGTACCTGTTTGACGTTGACGGTCGCTGCGAAGCCGGCGCATGTGCTGCATGCTGTTTGGCCTGCCGCGCTTCTTCGTTTTTTGTTTCGATGGTTGCCACGATATAGAGCTTCTAGAAGAGGCAGAAAATATGAGAGGAGACGTATCTTTGTATCCTTCTTCGACCGTATCTGTTGCGTCGGTTTTTTCGCTAAGCAACTACTAACTCACGCCTGAACCTCTCGATTAACTGGAATTGCATTTGCACGAGACGCGTCACAACCGCTTTGCACTACTGTGATGATGATTGTGATGATGATGATGTTGAGCGCATCCTTTTATGTATCTCATTGGTGAGCTATAGTCATTGCAACAACATTGCTATGTTATAAAGCTTGCTCTCCAAAAACGACGTTAAGAAGTACCTGGTGGCCGCCTGTGGGTTTAATGTTCCTTTAAAGTTTCATATTGGACGCTCACTCAGAAGTTTTTTTTTTCTCTCTTTTTCATTCGATCCGTGCATTCATGTAAATGGCTCCTACCTCCTCAGGATACAGCTGCAAGTTATGCTTCGTACGCACGTACTGCTGGGCGCCTCCTGCGATTGATCTGCATACTTCGACTATGGACATTCGTATTTTTGTGCTGTAGTAGACGGCTGGCAAAAAAACGTCGTTTATATAGCTGCTTGTGTGCGTTAATGGGTGATGATGAGTAGCGTCATCATCAGCTTCACCTCGTAGGACTTCCTGCTACTTCTACACGTCTGAATTCACTAATAGACAGCCGGCGCTAGTGGCAGTTGTAACAGTATTAGCTGAACTAGCATTAGATGAATGTGTGTGTGTGTACCGTTGATAACTCCCTTCCTTGGGTGGTGATTCTTTTTTCGTTATGGCAGCGCCGACAAAGCCGGTTACCTATAATATGGCAACAAATTAACATCCTCTGCCTGACAACAGCAGCCTCACCAGCACCACATTTGTGTTGTACTCTATTGTAACGTTTCGCGGCGTTCACGCAGGCCGCAGCGTTATCGGCTGACCTGGTGTCTTAGCTGCTACTGGCCAACTCACTGACTAATTCACTGATTGACTGCCTGAGTGCACTACCACTGTCGCTGCCATTACGCTGGGGCTGTTCGCCTAATCCCTTATGCTTATTTTTCTTCGTCGTGGTACCGACTGTATGCTGTAAGGCTCTTTTTGCTGTGGTTCTCGTTGTTGTTGCTGCTCGCTGTTTGCTGTCGGGACCGTAATGAGGGTCCTACTGCCAATACTGATGCTGCGGCAATGGCTACTGTTGCGAGGGCCGGACTTAGCTGGCGACCCTCTAGGAAACGGAGGCCCCCTTCCATCCCATGGTGCTCTCAGAGTACACGCTGCTTTCTTTCTCTCTACAGCACACCGTAAAGCGTACCAGAAGCGGCGGCAGCAGCACGGGCGATCGTAGTGGCCGTGGTCGTCGTGCGTGGCAAGCGGACTTACCTATTCACTCACTTCGAATTGTACACTGTTTGACTGCTAAGCAAATGTTGATGCCTAACTCAACAGGATCGACCCAGCAACGGTGCGATACTGTTATTGATGTGTTTGCTAGAAATGTTGAAAATACCGTTGCTAGTAAGCGAACCTGGAGTGCTGTTGTAGTAGTGCCCAGTAATAATAATGGCCTTAATCTTTTTCCACTTCTCCATGGTGCTCAGTCGCCCTTCCTCCGTCTTTCTGCTCTACTCACGATACTTACTTATGGAAAAATGAGCACCGTGCTGTTATCAACTGGCAGCCACTCACCGAAACCACATTAAAAAACAAAGCAGCAGCGGCAGCAGCACCATAAACAACCAATAACGTCTTATTCAACTCTACTCTTCACAAACATACACACGTTTCTTATTTCTTCATTTTCGCTTCCTCATTTTTCGGTTTTACTTTTGCTGATTGGTTTTTAAATCTGCTTCCGTTTAGTAGTGTTCTAACATCTCATGATCGCCACATAAAACGACGGCTAGCACGCTTTCGGCCTCTAACCCCATGGTCTGCCTGATCGTTGGTTTACCCTAGAGTTATCCAAACACCACAGAATTGCGCACCCGCCGCTTCAAACTTCACTCGTAGTTAGCTTTTGCGGAAATAATCATAATAATAAAAACAGTATTGCGTAATCATGCGCCTAGCAACAGCAGGAACCGCAGCAATATAGCCTTTTCTGCTTCTGGGCGAAGCCCGTCGCCGCCGTCGCAAAGCATTTGAAACAGGCCCACACAGTAAAACGCACTCAGTAGTTTTTTTACCTCCCCCTCAACCGCTATACGCTATTAGCGCAGCTCAGTGCAGCACCAACCCACTGACTGGCACACGGACTGCTGCCGACAAAATTCGTATCTGTTGTACAATTCCACTACCAGCCAAAAATCAAAATAAAGCGGGCTTTTTGATTATGTTAGTCGCAGGCCCAATATTCGTCGACCATTCTTAACTCTAGTTGAGGTCGTCGGTTCTACGGTGCATGACTTTTCCGACTCGTCTGGTTGGTATCTCCTCGATGCCGTTCGGCTGCTGTGGTTCGTTCCTTTGTGGTGTCTGTCCGTCGATATGTCCGTCTGTGTAGAAGCCGACTGATCACGGCCGTAGTCCTTTCCTTGGCCGCTTGTTCGTCTGCTCTGAGCAACGTCCGTCGATCCTCCGCCACGCTCCGCCGTCTTTGTCTCTTGTTTACGTCCCTTGCAATGGTGCAAATACGCATTGCGTGTAGAATGAAAGAAAAAGAATGCGTGGGGTCTGGGGTGTTTGTATCGCTAAAGGGATAAGCAGGGCAATGGAGGGCAGTAGACTTTATAGTGGCAGACCGACGCGACCGCGCGCGCGTGCACACATGATAAACGCAAAGCCGCTGTATTATTTTTCTATCTATCTCCAGTTCGCTGAAGCTCTACTCTATCACATACCATGCTTGAATAAACCTTTTTTCTAACCGCGAAACGCTTGAGCAGCCGGCCGCCCGCCGCACAATATATTTTGTTGGAGCCAACGTAAAAAGAGCGGTTTAGTAAAGAGATAGATGGAACGGGAAAGAAGGATGGAGAGAAAAAGTAGCAGCAAAAGAAGAAGTAAAAGAATACGCTAAGAAACCTTTCAGAACAGAGTCGAACCAGTCGTCATCGCGGTAGTAGCTAATACTGATGCGACCGCAGCGATGCGCTGGCTATACTGAATGCTGTTGCTACCTGCAGTACTGCTGCTGCTGCACAACGACGGAGCATGCGTACTAGAACCGCCATCATTGAGGCAGCCGGGGCTTCCTTGTAATCTGCTTGCGGCAGCTATGACCGCTATAGCAGCGCCGGTGAGCGGACGATGAGCTGACAACATGCGAAGCGTATTTAGTATTCCCCCCCGCCCGGCTAAAGAAACGAGCATATCCTTTAGCTGGCCAGCGCGCGCACATACAACGTACCTAGCGAATAGCAATGACGAGCTGCCGATGGAAGTCAGTTAGAAAGGGCATAGCACGGTGCCTGCCAGGGAGCACCATATATATGTGCCTTTCCTGAGCTCGCCGTGAGGGCATGGATAACTGTGTGCGGCGTGTCGCTTAGGCCGCCACCACAAAAGTGCCACAAACGTACCCAGAAGGAGTTCAATAAAGTGGTTTGCATCAGTACAGGTCCGCTAAGGGCATGAAATAATAAGAGGCAGGGAATCAATTCGACAATAGCAGAGATTTTGGATTTTCAAGCAGCGCACAGTAACAAAGACAAAATCTTGCACACGTTGATACATACTTCGACGTACAAATATCGTACTAGTCATAGCCGAGGAACCTCGGCCAATATAATTTTTTTTTTATATGATCGAAGCTTTTCATCAAAAATAAGCCGGCAAAAACGGTTAAGCATTTTTATGAGGTGAGGAGACATTTGACATAAATAGGTCAGCTGTTTGCAGTATACAGACTACCCAAATGCTTAAAATTCTCCTCTAGCTTTTGCAGTTTACCCTAAATGAAAATACAGAGAACGTTAACACAAACACAGCGTAGAATCAATAGCGTAATCCTAATGACCACCACTCACGGTAGAGGTGGCTCACAGCACTAAGCATCTTTCGCTAGTGAGCCAAGCAATACTGGGAAGTGCAGACTCATTAAGGTGTCACTCAAATTCGCTGAACATAAAAAAATCTAGCAGAATTGAATTTTAGGTTGATAGCAGGCAAAAAGTCCAACATGATGTAATTATCTCAAGAAGACGAACCGTTCTAGCTCCCCTAGCATCAGACACTTTCTTTTTAAAAGCAGCGGCTAAATTTTGTATTAAAACTAAAAAGTTAAGCTTCTAAACTAAATGAAACTATAGTTTCATGAAAGTATAGTTTCTTGCCCTTCTGCCTGAATTTGAAAGACCTTCAAATTTGAACCCTTTTGAGAATCTTCTAATTTTCTTCATAGAATTTTTTCTCAAATTTTTAAAAAGTAGTATGAATATTGGCAATGACCTCTACCACTAATAGATCATTCCAATGAGGTTCGTCTACTGCGACTTAAAAATATAAGTCGCAGTAAGAGCTTCCTGTCTCCGCTATGATGAGTCTGCTTAACTGTCTTTCTTCTAGTTTCAAGAATACCAAATTAATGGATGCTCGATGTGACAAGCAACCCGACAGACTCTGTTCTAATTCAGTGACAGCAGCCTATAATTGATAATGAGCTTCAGATCGAAGTCCCATGCAGTTGTGTGTATATAGATAATTTATTTCGAAAACAGGAACATTATTGTAATAAAAATATGTAAAATGAACAGTTTTATGAGCTGTCAATAAAATGTTGAAATCAATTATATCGGGAACAAATAATTTGTTCCTCGCAACAAAACGTTATAACGCAGACAAAGACGACGTGCAATCACGATCTTACTAGTTAGCAAAGTTCTTCACTGAAATATAAACCATCCCAGATACTTCATGTGAGCACTCTACCCAAGTGAAACAGTTGCTACTAATTTTACGTACATCTTTGACCAGTCAAGAATAAGGATTTTGAACTTTGTTAGTATTTAGATATACGCTAATCCAGTAGGGCTACATAACCTCGTACAGTTTGTACATTTAAAGTATCAATTTATTTTCGACCCTAAGTTTGAATTAACCTTAGCCTAAACACTGCCTACTTATAGACATAGGAACTCATATTAGCGTAGTTGGTTATATATTGGCGGACTAGTTGTATTACGTGATAGTTTTTCCTGCGTCATTGAATTTTATTGCAACAGGGTTTACTTTAAAATATTTCAAAAGGACTGCATTGGTTAGTGTTAAGAACAATTACTCAGTTGAAAGACTGGATGTCGCGAAGAAACTCGGCGCGACACAAGTACTACACATCTTTTTAATCGACACCTAACTTCTAATCCTATTTACTCAACACAGGCGTTCATATTATGCGCCTATTTACGCTTCTTCGAAACGTTTTTTCGGGACTGTGTAAGTCCTTGAAGTTTTTGAGACTGTGTAAGTAATGTTTCAGAGGCATTCGAAAGCCATTACCAGGTACACATTTGTCCTACTAACGCGTGATGTTAGATGATTTCAGATTACGAGACTTTAGGTCAATTTCAAACAGATGAGTGTATATATGTGGAGGTCGGTCGATTTTGAGCATGGCCGCCAATGAGGAAAATATACGAATATTAGCGCAATCAATAGTATTCTTTTGCTTAACATGACAAGCCGCAATTTTATTTTAATCTAAAAATAAATTACCAACTGCGATCTTCCAGGCAAAGGGCCGCCGTTGTAAAGCGCATATGTTTAGCGAATAATTGGTAAATGTTTACAGTAAGATTGCCACCTGTTAAGTTCCAGCTTGTTTCTAGGTAGGTTCTAGTTGTTGCAAGCAAGAAAACATCGAATAAAAATATATTACCATACACGTATAGTATGTCTATAGAGTAATATGCATGTCTATATGTTTATATACGCATACAGCCATATATTTTTCTTGCATAAGTACGCCACATTTATGTACTCTATATAAGAGGGACAGTGTGAATGAATATAGAATATGAATACAAAATGTACATTGCTTCTACCGCTGTCACGTTAAGGAACAAATAGCTCCCCCACTGCAGAGAGGTTCAACAGCCCCAACACGTAGACGCCGATGCGTGCAAGTGCCATTTAGCCCCACATATAGCTTTGCGATCAATACCTGCTAAATACCACGACACTGCAAAATATCGATCATATATATGATAGACGTCACACAGTAAACATCTGATACACACCAAAATGGCCAATCGATATGCAGTTTGATGTTTAGTGATTCTTGTTGTTATTGGCTTTTTCCTTTAATTGTTATTTTGACTTGGTAGATAGGGGCAAATAGTCTAACCAGAGGCACCAAGTTGCCATAAAATACTTTCCTCCACAGGAAATTACGGCTCCACGAATATGAAACGCTACATTAATTATATAGTTTTTTTTCAAAGCACATCGACATTGCGGTCGATGCGGGACAAAACGCTCAGAGCAGTTAACTTCTGTATGCGCGTATTTCAGGTAGAGGTGGATTCTCAGCGCTGGAGGCTTTGATTACCATTAAAAAAAAACAATAATTCGACCTGTATATTATCCATAAGCTCCGGCCAAAGCAACGGAAATTAAAAATGTGCGAAAAGCATTAAGTGTACATAGTAACGCACAACTTTTGTCTGTATGGATTGTATATTCTTTATTATAAATATATTGTAAAATGTGCCGGGGCATTAACTTAGTTATTAATTAATTAATCAGTAAATTAATATAGCAAGCATGATTCTTGATTTGCGATAAATAAAACAACACGTTCTTAGAGAAAGTAGGATATCACGCACTGTGTAAAATTATATGTGACCGTAAGCTTGTCGTTTTCCTTATCAGTGTTTGTCATTAGCTTGTTTCTGAATGATTAGTTTGGTCTAGGCCTTGTGGAGGCGAATAGAAGAGATGACTACATCGCCTTCAATAACAATAAACCTAAAAGCCTGTATATGTTTGAGGCGATGCTTGAAATCTGTGAAGTGTTTGCGATTGAAGGATACGGTGACTTCCTGCTCGGAGATGAGCATCGTCAGATCAAAATGTACGCCCTGGGAGAACTGAAAGTCCTGGATCCCTTCCTCAGTAGTCCAGGAGCCGTTTTGTTTTGAATTCAAAGCCACGTACTGTTGGTCGAAACGTGGATTCAGATGAAATAGAATATTGCCTAAATGCAACACAAACGAACCAAATGCAATGTTAACGTAATAAACCAGGAAATGTATAGCAAACAGCTTGAGCAATGACAAACTCGACTGATTAATTAGTACATATAATTGAATCACGGCTTGTATACCTTTCTTCCGCGCCTCCGACTTGCATAGAATATACCTACGTCCCGTTGCATTATATTTCTTCCGATAGATGTTGAAAAAGCCTAACTTTTGTATACGAAAACATTATATCTGCTTAGACCTTGTTTTGCTCAAGTTAAGAGATCTTTTCTATTTAATCACAAAATACTTTTAAATAAAAAGCTAGAAGAGCCGTGACTAAAAATACTAAGACTTTTCAACATATTTATGAATTTGCCAACAACATAGTGGTATAGAAAGTTAACAGTGTGTTTTAGGATTTACAAACCATCGCATGCCTTGTCACAGAGATTGATATGAAAACGATGAGCTGTTCTTGTAGGTTTTGCAGAAATGCTTATTTTTAGGCCTGGTTTAAGATTCTCTAGCTCCTTCACAAAGGGCACCGGCGGATTATGAAGCACTTCAACGCCTTTCTGAACTTCAGATACAAGGGCGACCGCCCCGTCAACGACGTCTCCACCATCTCGTTGATCAAGAGGACACTTTGATGCTTGCTCCAAATAACTGTCGAATACACAGAGCAAAATAGCACACAGCTCTACGAAGGAGTTATATTGATATTGCTATCAGAGAACCAATAAAAGATAGCAAAATACAACTTTTGTGCTCTTGCGATTTTTTAAAGGCGGGTTGAATGATTAAAGGGATGCCATTGTAGCAGATAAAACTTACGGCCGAGGGTCGTCACGCTCTTCAAGTTCCGAGATAATGAGTCCACTGCCTCCTGCCACCTCAATACGATTTACTTTATGGAAGTCGATCCGATGTTTAAAACAGTATTGATGTTCCCCGTTGACCGCTATCTTATAATCCTCGGTATCGACAAGAATCGTAATCACAAACGGTTTGTTTGGTACGATGCTTAGGTCGTCTACACGTACCTATAGATATTTAAACATTTAGTAACTAGGGGCAGATCTCAACACCTGAAATCTGCAAATACGATAATAAACTACGGTATTCATGTCTATCCTCTAACGGTTAGAGAATTAAACTTGAATTCAGTCTAACAAACAAAATTGTACACCTATGTTTGATATGTCCAACAGCAGCATAATAATTCTCAAGGACTCCGTAGAACAGACTGTATAACGCAACCCTATAGCTTTGCTGACATTATCGAACAAGCGGAACGCATAATTACAGACGACCATATTCATGGTTGAAAATGACCACCACGTTGTAATCGATAGCAAGGTAATGATATAAGCAAGGTAAAATTGATCAATTCATCTTACACCTTCAAATATGAAAGATGAGTATACAATTTGCAAGACCTCATTAGGACTCAAGTTCAGTGAAAAAAAGACTGAAAAATAGAATTGAGTCTCAAAAAATGTATGCACAGCTTATATGATTAACATCTCAGATTTTATTTATAGTAAATCTTTAAATTGAAAATAAATCTACTTGAAACGTGTAACTTTTCCGGCTACAGGAAACGCTCAAGATGATCACCGTTCTGGTGAATACACTGTTAATAACCGTAGACTGCTAAATTACAAACTTAATTGTGGCCTCTAGATCTTTTACAGTTGTCATTTTCTAACGTATATGTCATCCTTACATAACAGTATCCTTACATAAAAAAAACTCAACTGGCGTTAGGTTTGAGAAGCAGGCAGGGTATTATATAAGATATTTCCGGGCAACCTATCTCTTTGCAGGGTTCTCATTAAAATATTCTTTAACATCACGGTGATAGCGTGCAGCAACTCGGTCCTGTTAGAAATAACATCCGCTGTTTTTACGAAAATCCTCCCGAAGGCGTGGTAATACTCATTCTTGCGATAACATCAAGTAATTATTACTAATTACTGTACTGTCGAAAAAAAAGGGTCCAAATTGAATTACAGTCTGTACATTCTTTCAGAGACTTTAAGCATAATACAAGGAAGCTCTATTATGATTTTGAGAGACATATCTCGTATGCTGTTGTCTATTAAAAACGAGATAGCTAAAACGATATAGATGTATAACGGAGGCAATGGACTTGAACAAGATGGTTGAACTGCTCGCATAAGAGTTTTCCTTGAACTCTGACGATTCTAACCGGAGACGATTCGCTGCCTGCTTAAGTATATAACATAATGTTTTGCGCAACAGTTTGTAGAGGATCAAGAAAAGACGACAAGCCCGTTTACTCTCGAGAATCTTTTTACACAAAACGGTTCATTGAGCTTCGGCAAAATTAAATTTTTGACCGATTTGGAACATTTTACCATAATATTCCACAGTTTAGATTTATACTCTTTATCTTGCACACTAAATGTGGGTAAGTAGGTGGGCGTTAGTGCTTAGATAGCGATAGACCTACCTCTTTCTGCCAGTCGGACTTTTCATACGAATTGAGTATGAGCTGATTGTCTTCGAGGCGTGGATTAACATGAAGAGCTACTGTTTCCTCATTATGCTTAAGGTTGAAGTGAAAACATTTTGAACCCGTAACTATTCCGCGCAGCTCAAAGACACGTCCCACCTAAAACCGGTCATCAAACATATTGATCTTCTACAATGACAAATAACTCTAACGTATGCAATTATGTGTGGAAAGATCAAATATGCGTGTAATTTCCAGGTAAGATCAACTACAATAGCCCTATGGGCAATCCTAATTCCGCTCGTGTAAAAAGTCACCAGCATTAAAGCCCGAAATTCCTTGCATTGTACTATTATTTTTCTTATCCATTAGAGCTTGAATAAAGCAATCGGCAATACACAACAATATTACCGTTATTATTATGATAGGCTGCGTAATATCATAATGATGCCACAATTACGACTACTATGCCCGTATTCGTATTTAAGCTACGTACTGTTAAACTTAACATTAATAAAATCAAATAGAATGATTATACATATACATTGATCTTTATCTGCATAATGACATTAAATGACGAGAAATTTTTTCCATTTAGGGTTCTAAAAGTCGTCCGTAGAAATCGAATCTTGATTTTAACTTAGACACAAACCTGTACTTTACATCCGACTGAACCTTTGTACGGTACCGGTAAGTTGTGCTTGGCCACGCCGAAGTGTCGATACATCGTTATCACTCCTCCGTTTCCGGTGTCAGGCATCTTGGCTGTCGTAAACCACCGCTTAATCTCAATAAAAAAGCCCTATTATTGTAACTTTCCGCTAGCGACAACCGATGAATCTAAAATAAAAAAGGAGTCCATCGTGAATAAAATGTAACTTAACTTTTTTTGCTCGACTGTGCTTGCTATATTGGGAAGTGAATATACTGCATAATCATTTCTATCAGAGAGATACGAGTATATTAACTGCTTCGTATCTTACGACAGACACTGCGTCAGTTTCAGTTCTAGATCCGGTACTATCGTTAGGAATACCTTCGTACCACCGATTCAAAGCCCAAAACGAGGTGTGTCTACGCTCGGTTTCAGATATAAACCATAAAGTTCACTATGCAAGTACGTTACCGCTGCATTATCACAGAGGCCAAGATATAAACGGCAGATGGGCAATAGCGCAACACATGTAGACACTACTGAATGTAGTTGAATGTATATAATTCTATTTAGAGTAATGCGACGCAGATCAGCGCCTAGCACTATGGTTAGAGCTAGTGGTCTAAAAGATTTCCTCAATATGAAGATATGTTAAAGCTTTTTATACATAAATGAAACGGTCACCACTGACTGTAATTATCTTTCTTTTCTAACATTTCCTTTTCCTCATTGACATTTTTTATATTCAAATGCCGATCAATAAGTCGTGCTCAAAATTCGTTACTAGAGGTCTCTATCAATCACTTTCATCAAATCCAGCGTTGGTTTATCTTGAATATTTGCGAAATTTTAATTTGTACCTACCAGAAAAATGATTAACCTGTGGATGATCACTAAGTTAGGTGCATCGTGCAGACACAGGAAAAGATTGGCATCGTAACTTTGAACTTTCGAACAACATGTCCCCAAGATTCCTTGCTTGGAATTCTGCTGGGTTGTTACGCTGTGACATTCGAAATTAAAAGGTGATAACAGGGGCGGTGGCTCATCGATACACTAATCAGCTGATCAGTCGGTCAGTCTGCTATTTCTAATACGATTACTACGACTACAGCGGTTCGTTTATGATTCAAGGTAATATTTTTTAACAGAAACCAAAACGGCTGTTGAATGTTTTTTGCAAAACAGTCATTTTCATATGACCCCTTTACTGCGTTTCAGTTCTGTTTTGGCAATCACTTCGTTGTTGTTATTAATACTACGATACAATTGGTTAAAGGAATGAGGCACATCTCTTCCTAAATTCTAGACCTACGGCATCTAGATGGTGCGTTCCTATTTGCCGCATATTGTTAGCAGTGCTGCGAGCCGACCAACTTGATATCCTGAACACCCTGTTTTTTTCTTGTTTTATAATAATCTTTCCCCAGAAAATAATACGAAATGTTTACAGTCTTTGACTCCTTTCTGTCCAGCACTGAAACTCCTCGTTAACAAGACACGGTTCTACAATAACAACAAACATCTAAATTAGACTTGATACTCAAGCGCTGGCACAGCACAGCTAAAATTCGTTGCTGTGCTAGCGGTGTGTGGTACTAATTTTCGCACGGATGGCAACCCTCAGTCTCATAATGCCTATAACACCGAGTATCTCAAAACTGAGATATTATCTAATCTTATGAAATGATAGGTTTGGCCGGAAACCAGCTGTGCTATTTAAATCCATAGAACAATTTTATATAATTGGATTTTTGTTCGTTACGTTACCTTATAGCAACCTATATCCACCGCATTACCAGGCATTCTTGTTTAGATATTAGTCACAGGAAAACTAGATCGCATACCGTTTCATCGCTGGAGCGTCACTTTCAAAGCTGATCATCAATAGTACCACATTTTCAAGTGAATGCGTCCCGTGTTGTTAAGCAAAGGGTCGAGTTACGAGACTACATTTGCCAAAATAAAAAGGTAAATGATCTGTGATGGACTGCTTCAGCGTTTATCACTCCGCGGCGCCATCTTGGCTTGGTGTGGAGTCGCATTACCAACAGTGAGCAAAGTCATTCAGCTCGGGAGGGAGCCCCGCAGCGTGTTCAAGTTGCCGCTGCTCGACTTGCTCGCGTGATCAAGTAATCAGTACTCTGAGGATCAGTCTGCTTTGTAAACCACGACGCACCTAAAGGAACTCGAGCCAAAGACCCAACGCCGAAGGATAACAGCGGCGGACGACAGAACCTTGTGATAGTTGTTGGTGTTCGTCAAGTGAGTGCTGGTGGTTCGTGTTGTTGGTGTAGTGCTGCTGGTTGTGAGCCGTGAGCCACTGGCCCGGCTATCAGTGCTGTGTACAACCGTGAAGTAAAATTTGGTGCACTGGAGGTTCGTCGCCCTTGGTCCACCACGCAGCGTCCCGGCAGCGCCTACCGCAAGATGCCGCGATCGCCGCCCCCGGACCATCATCGATCGCGGCATCGCGGTGACCCTTACGCTGACCATCCTGGTTACCCCGGCCACCAAAGCCACCAACCGCCACGAAGCAAAAGCGGCTACGGCAGCTATCGAATCCTGTTGGCCAGCAATCTTAACTACAAAGTGAACGACAGCCTGATGCGGCAAGCGCTCGAGGATGAGTTTGGTCGATTCGGTGACCTGACTGTTAAGCTTAGCCAGGAGGCGGGCGAGCGTGTAGCGTATCTGTATTTTCGAAGCTACGAGGAAGCAAAGGAGGCCCGGCACGCCAAGTCCCGAATGATTCTGTTTGACAAGCCTATCCACATTGAGCCTATCGTCGAGGAGCCGGCGCCAAGACGTCGACGAACGCCCAGCCCCCCAATGGATTACCGGGGGATGTCGCCCATGGGACGACGGCGGCCTCCTAGCATGGATCGTATGCCAATGTATCATCACAGAGGGGACCATCATCACGGAGGACCGCCTGGACCGCCGCCGTTTCGTCGAGGAGAAAAAAAAGAGAAGTTTCCTAATTATCTTCACCATATTCCACCTGAAGATGATGACAAATCGACACGAACGTTGTTTGTCGGAAATCTCGAGGTAACAATTAGCGAAGCGGAACTACGGCGTCTCTTCGAACGTTACGGTATTGTCGAAGACATCGACGTGAAACGACCGCCCCCCGGTCAAGGTAACGCGTACGCGTTTATCAAATTCCTTAATCTCGATATGGCTCACCGCGCAAAGGTTGAGTTGTCTGGCCAATACATTGGCAAGTTCCAGTGCAAAATTGGTTACGGCAAAGCCACCCCAACGACACGCATCTGGGTCGGCGGTCTAGGAGCTTGGACCTCCCCCACACACCTTGAGCGTGAGTTCGATCGCTTTGGTGCCATTCGTAAGATCGATTTTGTCAAGGGTGAGAGTCACGCGTACATTCAGTATGATTCAATTGATGCCGCGCAAGCCGCCTGTCAGGAGATGCGTGGGTTCGCCCTTGGTGGACCAGATAAGCGCCTCCGGGTAGACTTCGCTGATCCTGGTAGCTACTCGTACGGGAGCGGAGGAGGCGGCGGCAGTGGTGGAGGTGGCGGAGGCTATCCTAACGGGACCAGCCCGGGTGAAGAAGGCTATCGACAGGCTCGTCGACCACCTGACGAAGGCTACTATGGCGGTCGGGAAGATGGCGAGTATTCAAACGGAGGACGGAAGAGGCCACACACACCTGACAATGGTGATTCGAAGTACGGGAAGTACCGAACTGGTCGAGCGGGCTCAGCTTCACCAGACGTCAAACGCGCACGTTCCTTCTCCCCGAAGGACCTTCTTGATAAGGAGCACAGCCGTATCTCAATCGCCGATTCTGTGGCGTCGATCTCCGAGCTGGCCAAATGTTGTGCGGCCGCGTGGAACGGCTGCCTTATCCTGAAAAGTTCGTCGTTCAGCACCAAGATGTTACTTTGCTCCGGGGACTCTGCCTTGGTGGAACAGTTGATTAAGACGCAGTGTCTGCGCATCACTCAGCGCTTGCGGCTTGATCAGTCGAAGCTAGATGACGTCCAGAAGCGTGTATCAAGCGCCGGCCCCGATGGCAGTTGCATTTTGCTTACGCTGACTGGCAGCGGCGCGGTGCCGGCTGATGCCGGCGATGTACAGGCCAGGCCACTGAAGAATCTCGTCAGTTATTTGAAGCAGAAAGAAGCGGCCGGCGTCGTCCCATTGGCCGTCAAAAGCAAAGATACGAAGACCGAGAAAGAACTTGCCGCCCCAGCTGTACTTTATGCGTTTCCGCCATGTGAGTTCGCGTTTGATCTTCTCAAGAAGGTTGCACCCAACCTAAGCGACGCCACTAACCAGGGCAAGGACGATTACCTGGTTGTCGTCGTTGTCAAGGGGCAATGAATGAATCGGTGATGCATGGCTAAGCATCTGAAAGGCCACGACTACTACTTTAAGCGCACTTACGGCTCTAATTAGCTAATATCAAGCAATTGCTTTTTCACAGCTCAGTGATCATCGATAACAGCTAGAATAGAACTGAAATGTATCGAACTAATTGTTTTTTCGATTGAATAGGTGTTGTTTGTGCTGAGCTAATGTTGAAAGCAGTTGTTTGCTATCAGCTAATTGCCAGCGCCGAAAGGTTAAGGACTGGCCGGAGCGGTAAACTACAACAATAGCAGCAACTCGACAGCCATAACATAATTAATACGATCTATAAATATACATATATATATACAATACGTATAGCATAGAAAATTACATTGGGATGTAGGTGCGTATTATTGTCGTGGAGGGATCTAATAATAAGCTATGCCAAATAGTGCATAGCTTTTTGAGGCATATGGGACATTTTTGGGAAGACGACAATAAGGATAAAGCGACTTTTCAAGGAAAAAGCATAAATTACAGTGCGTAAAGAAAGGTCTTGCGAAGAACAATGTCCAGTTGAGCATGTAGCGTATACAAGTACATATATACAATAACAACAATAGTAGTTTTTGACAGCGAGAAGTTAAAGGTATGGAAGAGTTACCGAAATATGGAACTTCTAAACGAGCCTCTTCCCGTATTTTGATTTTGCTTGGGACGTTGAAGATGTTAACAATGTGTGCGGCGTACATCATTTTGTTTGCCCTTTAGCTGCAACCCTACAATACAATTGGCAACCACGTTCAGCTGATCACTACTACGTCTTACTGTAAATCAGAAACAATAAAGAAATACGACAAGACAACAAAATAACAAAAACAGCGACGGCAAACGTAAACGAACAAGCAGTAACAAAATTAGTGACTGTAATGACGCATTGTATTCATGTAATTTTCCCCTCCCTCAGTGCAGCAACGTGGATGCAAATTTATACTTTGGACAGTAAGGTTCAGATGATTAGGTTCCCCATATCTGGGTATATATTGTACCTTCAAGTATATGCCATATATATCGTACATGTTTAGTATATGATAAGAACAAGAATATAATATTAAAGTAATGTTGGTGAAATTGTGCATAAAAATGTGTGTTGTGTTGTGATTGTGCATCAAGTACCAGTGGCATGAAAATCAACTCTACACTACTGCGACAACCTGTGTGTGCTTAGGCTGTGGTGGATCAAAGCAGTGGTGACATGAAATGGAAAAAAAAGTAAATTTCGTGGTGGTGAAAGTTCACGTGACGCGTGGCAAGCTCGTGTCGTCTGCCGCTAATGGTGGTGTTATGATGTTTGTGTCTGTTCAGTTCTAAATTCTAAGAAGTGTGTTTTGTGGTGAATCTACAAGAAATGCAGGTTGATACAGAAAAAAAAAAACAAGGGTTGGGGTGTTGGATATAGTGGGAGGGGCCAGTGCTTAAATTCTTCTTCTGTGCTTGATTGGCGGTAGTGTGGTTGGCAGATGCCAATAACAGCGCGAACAAGTGACCTCCCTTTAAGTACCCATCGCCGTTCCCAACGCGTTGTACCTAGGATGATATATATTCCGTGTGTTTTCTCCGAGTGTCTTTGTGTGACGTGGCAGTGCCGTTTCCTTGCAAATTAGAACCAATCAGTCGGTGAATCAGCCTTCAGTGTAGCTTTTGCGTGTACTACACTTAAACACATATATATATATATATATAATATATATTATATATATAATATATGTGTGTGTGTGTGTGTGTGCGTTCGAAATTGTTCTACCACGCTCCCAATTGCCCAACTTGGAAAATTGGCCTCGGCTTACAAAAAAAAGAAAGAGAGAAAAGCCCCTCCCACTACAATATAAAAAAAACACATTCGATGTTGCGATTGTGTAATGAAAAAATAATTGATGCTGACGATTCCTGTGTTTTCAGCGAATTGGAATGCTTAATATTTTGTGTGAAACGCAACCACGGCGGCGGTGATTCGTGTAATGGCTGGATCAATTCTCCGTCAGTGCTTCTTCTGTTGTTTTTTCTGCTTCTGCTTCCTAAACTTGCCCGTATAATCTACCCATTCCCTTCGAGGTTCCTCCCATTCACAGACGTCAATAAATCTATTCCTCTTGGAGGATTGTCAGGTGCTGTCAGTGTAGCGATTTTACGAAGGGCGAGTGTGCTTAGTGTGGTGATATTTAGTGGATCCAATTAGCGATGTTTGTTATATTACCGGAGGCGCGTATTATTTATTCTTCATCAAGGTCATAAATGTCATCGACATCATTATCATCATCAACTCAAATCAATATCAGATCGAGCTGCGTCAGATGGGAAGCTTTAGGTTTATCGATATCATGGAGATGAAACATCGACGAGGGTGGTTGGCTGGCGGAGAACGTGGCGTGACTGTGGCAGGCAAATTGTCTCAAATTGTGTTGCTCTTTGATATGGGCTACGGTGTCCTTGTAGTGTACCTGTGTGCAAAACTGACCCTATCAACGAATCGGGAGAGGCTTGCAGGAGCGAGCACTGGGAGTTCGTCCGTTTCTCAGAGGAGCGCGCCTTCGGAGGCCTTTGGAGATTGAGCAAGGACGAGAATTTCGGTCTCTCCTTCTCGACAGAGACAGAGTTGTCCACTTCTAAATCTACCATACTCGTTAGCATATTATTATTACACTATCAAAGAGTGAATTGAATGTTTTATGAAATTGGCATAGCTAATAAGTCTCTCGATCTCCTGTTTCAGTTGTCCTGAAAGGTCCTTGTGCAATACATTTACTATACACAGAAACGAAATTGTCCATTTTCTCCAATTGCTAACAAGCTCTCGTTCGATTTCAGTTTGATGTGGTTAGAGTTCAGTGCACTACTTTGTCTCGGAAATTTTTACCGGAAGGAATCGTGGTGTTTTTTGCCGTGATTCGTGTGTGCATATGGTTCTTCTCTTAATGGTATAGTCTGCAAGCAAACAGTGGGTGGTAAGCATAGACGTGTGTTATTTGTGTGCACTCTGTGCCCTGAAATGTGTGTGAGTGTGTGTGTCACGTTGGACGGAGCACAGTCTTTTATTATATGCTAAACCTCTGGCTTTATTTGTGTGGAGGTGAGCGAAGGCCTCAACAAGGCCCGCACCCCAGTTTCAGTGCTCTAGTGCTTCCGCTGACAAATAATGCAAAATGATAGTGGGGAAAAGTCGACGAAAGGAAAATTAGGTGATATGTGCAGCGCGCGCTCTCAGAGCAAGTGTGTCCTTTGTGTGTCTTGTGAGCAGTGCAGCAGTTTTATCAGTAGCAGAAAACATCAGACAAAAAAAAGTCCGTAAATCTTCTCTTAGTGGCCCTGTTTAATCAAGAAGCAAGAGACAAGGAAGTGTGCTATAATTTTACAAGTGATTCACATAATACGATACCAGTGTAGGTGGACGGAGTAAACTATCCGTGTTAAAGGTGAAGGAGGAGAAACATTCGGTGCAGAAGCAGCAAGAGCGAACAATTTACAGTGAAACTTTATCAAACAAAAACGAAGCAGGGACTATGAACATATATAAATATAAAAAATATATATATACATACATATATATATATATATATATATATATATATATATATATATATATATATATATATGTATGGCTGCAAAATGAGCAAGTGAATGCAAATAAAGCCCTGCATCATTGTATAAAATTGATTTAAATAGCTCTTGTCCTCTGTGTCCGTATAGATGCTTTTTTGGTAGTTTTAATTACTGAGGTATTCATCGAATAAATTGATTTGACCACGAAAAGCGGGTGAATTAGTTTAAGTAGGTATGGTACTTGGTTTCAGCGGGTAGGTCTCATCACGTGCTTTATTTATAATTTTATTAAGCACCTTCCGGACATCATCTCCACTGTTTTCCTTTTTTGCAACTCGAGTTACGGTAACAACGGACTTCTAGGCATTTCTTGGTGAGCTGGTTTCCATGTGGCCAACCAGATGTGGTAAGTGGTTTTTCAGTGTTCAGTGTTTGCAAGTCGTTCTAGTAATTCCAAGTCGGCGTAGACATAACCTATCCATATAATGGATATCTGCACAACACATGGTTACAGTCGTATTAAATATTTCTTATATGACACGGTACGCATTTTACTTTTAATAAGCGTGGCATGTTAGAAGTAGACTGGATGCAACATTATGGCAAGGTCAGGATTGGTTGCTATAGTAACGTTAGACGCGACGCATACGCTAAATGAAGAACGAAGAAATAACCATTAGAAGAATAGTATTAGTGATTATAGCATGAACGCCGACTTAAACACAAGTTTTCACCACAAAACACGATTAAGATAAATGTTTTATATGTCGCCCTGGCGCAAAAACCTCTTTTGATACATCCTATTATGAGAATAATCCTTTTTTAAATCCGGTTTTTGTAAATTGTTATTAAAGCATTTTTTTAAATAAACCTTTGGTGGTATTACATCCCATCTTTCCTAACTAGACTAATTTCACCTAAAGCCTGTGTTTAGATCGAAGTATGGTATTTGTTTTTACCGATCTGATCTGCATTCTTATGAAAATGGCATCGGCAAATCTGTTTTGTTGAGGGTTTTGCAAATTAAATTATAGTACACAGAATATTTATATATATAATATTTGTACGTATTTCTATAATATAGCATATTTATACTTCATTAGTACACTTACCTATCCGATGCAAGCATACTTGAAAAACGGTTGCTATAAATTCGATCCGAAGTGCTGCGGTATTATGTACCACTTTGTTAAGTAAAGCTGCCGGTTTTTTTATAACCGATTATCTATCTAATATTTAAAAACTGATTTTTTGGGTTCAAAGTGTTGTCTTTGAAGCAAATCAAACCGAAATCAGGTTTTCATTCACTCGTGTCCATACTTAACAAAGCCAGAATGAATCGATATAACGATATGAATTATGGAAATCTAACAGAAGTACAAATTGTTGTTGTTTTGTTCTGCTGCTTTTAACGTTAACAGTTTAAAAAAGTTCGCGGGAGTCGCCTACGAGGCCATGTTGCTTTCAATTGGAAAGATACCCATCAGTAGAGAGATCGGTACTGCGATCGATGTGAAGTTCTTGGCCCTAATTTCTTCTGATATTTATTATTTCGATTTTCGATATTAGATGCCTTTGTGCGTCAGCAGTAATCTACAGCTTTTTGCTTACTAGGAAAAAGCAGGATAAATGAGCTTTTATCTCTGCACATATAACGAAATCAGTTAGTTGCGTTAAAATATGTGAGTTAATATAAACAATCCTATGAAATTGGTGACGTTATTTGATTGGCCACCCTCCGGATTCAAATACGTTCCATGTTGCACGTTGAGGCACTGAGCCATTTCATCTATCACTATAAAAAGTAAATATATTACATAGAAAAGCATAGAGAGAAAGCCCTATCTGGAAACTGAATTTTTACGCAAGAACAATTTTGTAAAGGTGCGAGGGGGTATTGCTTACATAATAATAACGTAGTTTTGTCTAAAGTAAGAGTGAATAATCTGATTGCATATCATCTGATCATAATATTTGATTACATAGAACTAGTCTGCATCATCAAGGTTGTACCCTTTGATCTCGATGCAAATTGGAAACCCTTGATTCGATAAAACAGGAAAAGGGAGTTACCAACAATAGCTTAGTATCTTCTAGAAATGACGTACGAATCGGTTCGGACACTGAAGTCTTTGACGTAATGAACTGGTTGCTGTTCCGCAAACGTGCTATATCTAACTTGCACAAAGTATGCTTTGGTGCATGTTCATAATATTGAATATTGTACAGAATATTGTAATTATTGAGATACCGGCAACCCAAATGCAACGTAGTTTATGAGGTTTAAAATGAGAGCACCAAGTAACAAAAAAAAACAAACCCTTTAGCTCTTTATATGAAATTTTATGAGTATTGCTTGATTTTGTTCAACGGTGAATCAAAGACGCTTGGAAGTTTTAAAACTATCCACTGTTCACTGTTAATGCGAATAATGCAGGACTTAGGTAGGAAAACTCATACAAGCAGTAAGGATCTAGTGAAATCTTCCATGGATGAGCAATCCACCGCTAATTGGTTACAGATGGCCATGCACGGTTTTACGCAATAAACGACACGTAATTATGATTTGCTGGAAGCTGTTTATTTCATTTTCAGTATATTTAATATTTTAATTAAGTATATATATATACTATATATATTATATATATATATATATATATATAATATAGAGAGAGAGAGAGAGAGAGAGAGAAAGAGAGACAGAGAGAGAAAGAGAGACATTTACTTGATGTTTACTCTTTTCTGCGTTCTTCGTTTAATTTTATCGAAAGCTCATGTTTTGTCAATTTTTCCTATATATGTCAAAGTTATGTCATGTCATCGTATTTTGCCGCTTCATTTCATTGTACCTTTCTGTCAAGTCAATTTTATGTTTTCATGCTAACCTTCTCCCCTGCACTTTTCGTTAGTACATGAGGGATAAACGGTTTCGATGACTTCCCTCCGGACGTTGTTTTTCTACCACACTATACTGTATAATGTGGGCACATGAGCTATTCACACGTATGAGGGATCCATTACGTTACGTAGTCGGCTCGCTCTAGTCATCTTAATCAACCATCCATTCACCTTCAGTTCTGTAACCCCTCCCCCTTCCCCCTCCCCCCCAAAACACCCTTTGCAAACGTCTCCCCTTATTTTACTACTATCATCACGACTAAACGGTGTCTAACGGGTCACAAGCACGTCACTTGCACACAGCTTAGGTCTATTGTTTTTTGGAAGCGTCGTTACAACAGGCTCTTCGTCGTTTGATATCTGTGCTTCTTGCATTCTTTTTAGTTCTCTAAATTAGTGTTTGAAGTATTCCACGATACATCTCGGTGAGCTACGTCAAAACTCCCACGGAAAGCGATCACTCGGGTAATTTTTTGAACTGTAATATTTCATGCAAATAATCGCGATGTTATTAAACGCATGACACCAAAAAACACCTAGCTGACGCAGAATTTTTGCAAATCGTTTTTAAGTAACAGTGTCTGTGTTGTCATTTAGAAGATAATATAGCTTTTCGATTTGAATTCACACCAAAAAATTTGCAGAGACACGATTGCAGTGGCCAAGGTCACTACTTGACTACGTAACGAAATTTTTCAGTAAACCTTATCAGTTTGTCATCATCGAACTTTTTCTCTGGAGCTCTAAGTTCGATGACGACAATACTGGCTTGTTCAAATTCGTGAACATCAACCACAATAATGAATGGTACCATTAGCTAGAAAATAACGCGCATTCGTTAAGCATCGTTGCATTTCCTCTGCAGACAGATCTTAGCGAGTACGCATTTCTCCCTGTGTAAAAACTTCAATGAAATAACTTTTTTTTTTCTCTATGTACCACAAGCTTCCTGCAGTTATAGTCTAATACTAGTACATCATTTAGCTCGAGACACGTAATGTACCAGGACTAACAAGGCGCAATTCACCTAGGACTTCTTTCATATAGTGACACAGCCTTAAAATAACATAACACCACCCTACAGAACCACGTGTTTCTCAAATTTCTCTTATCCTTGAAATGTTTCCATATAGTACAAAAGCTAGCGAAATCATTTTATCTAATCATAGATATAAAACGCGTACTTTATAGGCACATCAACCTCACGAAGATCGATGCAAATGGGCAGTTGTCTAATGAAGACTTAACAGATAACAAAATGCGACGTGAATGGACTTCAATACCCTGGCGCATTAATGACAAAAACAGTTGAATAGTACCGATTCCAGTTAGAACTCCTTATTTTCAAAGAACCTCTACACCATAAATTCTTCTAGAAGAGACCAGAGAAATGCAAAAAGATTACAAAAAGCTACGACTGAACCTAAGCTCGACTGGAGCTTGAAAGGAGACTGCTCGAGAATAGAAGGACACGTCTGGTGTTTGGTTACTCGAATCGTTTCATATTATCCTTCGTTATTTCTCATTTTCTTTACTCGTTAGAGTATGTCTTATTTGTTGATATTTCTGTTAGGCTTTTGGGAACCCTCGTTTTTGTATTACTTTTCTCTCTCCTTTGGGACGGACCTCCAGGCTAACAACCATAACGTCATACACAGTTGCCTAAACAGGATGACGTATCGTCAACGAGTGAACCCACAGTCAGCGAAAACACCGAACATTACTCCAATTCTATTCAGTTTCCGACAGAAAGAAAATCTATCGGCGATAGTTTTTTTCTACAGACGCAACGCCCCAGTCGCGTCGATCGAGTTCGGAATGAGCACGGATTTCGAATCCATTCTGCGTATTGTTAGGAGTCACGGTGATGTGGGTGCATCGTTACTGCCTTCTCGAGAGCATATCACACCAAAAAAATAAGGGCGGGAGCGTTTGTTCTCTATAGATTTAGAGTTGTTTATGCCTCCTTTCATATCCTCATTTTACGCTCTTTAATTCTCCAGCTCCCTGTAATAACTCGTATTTAGATGTCATCGATATCAAGGTCGTCCTCATCGTCCTCCTCAGCGCCCGGCCCATTGCCATTGCTCTTCGAGCCACCAATGTTTGGCTTCGATACGACTTCCTTCACTTCTTTCAGACCTTCTGCTGTGTGCCGGTCATCGTACTCGATTTCCACCGCATCTGTAAATATAACATGGAGCCTACTTAGAATACTTGCAGAGACAGCTACGCAAATTAGGTTTAAACAGTCATCAAGCACCTACGTCACTAATGGCCACTCAAATGCTCACAAATGTGAAGAAATTCTATGAACCAAATATTCAGCCCGTATTCTAACAAAATTAAAATGAAGCCATGACAATTCTAGTCCAACTTACGGTCCATAGCTGTATTACTAGATAGCTAGGGTCATATGCTTTTAAAATGACGAAGTAAAACGGTATGGTGACTTTAATATTCCGCCTTACCCTCATCTGATTCATCATCCTCGCTTTCTTCCTCGGCGTTCTTGAGCCATGTAATGAATGGCTCTGCTTTTTCATGGATCTGCGCCGCAAATTCCTTACCGACGTACCGTTTGCTCACCTAGAATAACAACATCGGTAAAAATATCTAAGAGATTTTGCTCTTAAGAGAGTTAAATGCGTCGTCTGCTTCGTAGTGCATATGAAACCGTAACTGTAGCTACCAATACTTTACGATAGGCGACAAAGCCGCTATAGCGTATTTGAAACGAACTGGGACACTTCTAGCGAAAAAATTCACTCGCTATCCTTCATCATAAAATGCCAGAAATGTGAAAATTGAGCGAAAATAGTAGTTAAGTTCTCACACCGACAGCACCATACGTGTGTCCCCACAGAAAGTTTGACTAAAACGCCCGTGACAATGTTATTTCTCTCTGGCCCAGGATGGGTGTCCCTATGAATGTGTTCCTAACTTCGATTCTCCAAAAGAGATTAATCATTAATGACGACGGCTGACTTCCGCCTTCCATTCTATTCTGACTCTGTGGGGCAATCTAATCGCACTCTTATTCATTCTCCGTCTTACTGAAGAGCCTTCCTGATAAAAGAGGGCTGAGGAAGTCGGTCGAAGTCTTGTATGCAGAAGACTTTCTCGGCGCTTATTTACGAGTCGAACAGGTTATAAATGCAGCAAGCCCTAGTCACGCTTCACGGGGCAGTCACAGGTCTGGGACTTATCGTAAACCAGACGAAGACGAAAGGAGATAAGGCTGCAGCTACTGACACCTTATACCTTGCCATCTCGCTTCTTGCTATGTTAATCGATATCCGTACTTAGGCTTGTACCCCGCGAACGGCAGACCGCACAGATTACCGAAAAATGCGTAAAGGCAGTGTTGCCCGCATGGACGACCAAATCACTTCATCGTTTTGCCCTCGCAACCGGCCTCAGTTTGTTTGACCTTATGGTAGTTCCAATCGCAACGTGTAGGATACGCATTATATAGAAGAACTTGCAATGGAGACCTTCATATAATTCGCGTCAAAACCTTCTAGCTTGAAAGAGCAATTGAATTACAGTGACCTGAAATCGACTCGTTTATCTGCTAATCGACTTCCGAAGTTCCTAGCGACGAAAACCATAAGACGAAATCTTGGAAACGGAAGATTACTAGACTTCTTTGCTTCGGATGCGATGAGTACACGAACAAAGGTACAAACCAGTTTGACAAACATGTCGTCATTCACCCTGCCATGCATGCCTTCCGCCGTACTCTGCAGGAAATCGTGTTTTTACGAGCCTGACAGTACATTAAGGTGTTTCAGATGCGAGGGAAAGTGACATTACGCGAAGTGTTTCAAATGGTTTGAAGTGATTCCATACACTAATTTCGATATTGAAGGACTGGGTTGTATTTCTGCACTACTGCTAACCAAGGCAGGAAAGTAAAGCTATTAATAGTCACATTGCGGTCATTTAAGCTGTAGTCGGTGTTCCTGTGGCTTCTGAAAAATTTTGAGTATTGTGAGTCTTCTCGTTGGCGAGCGAACTGATATGAAATGATTTAAATATTTCACCGTTATTGAAATTAAGTGCCCCAATACAGTGCCTCCTAAAACAGGTGCGGTTAGTTAGCGTTGAAACGAAACAGGTTATGCGTAAATACTTTCTTACCTTCTTGGCCCATTCGAGAAGCTGATCCTCATCGACGATATCCTCGTCATAGAGTACTTTCAGTACAACTGCGCTCTTCGCAAGCAGCGCATCCTTATGCAGCTTGATCGTTTGCTCGACGCCTAATAGACGATTGGACAGCGATAAACTCGAGATGTAGTTATTTTTTACCTTGTGTCCATGATTGAGCTAACCTAATTACAACAACAGTAATTTAAAGGGAAACGAGTGACTATTTCATACGCATCATTGTTTTGGTTTTACACATGAGTTTTGGTCTCATGAACACGTACCGCCAAGCAAGTATTTTTGGGCCTTTTTGTTGTCATTCGTAAACAGCCGGAACAATTGGGAGTTCGCCTTTAGCAGTTTGATCGCCTCGGCATCGAGGACAAGCTCACAGAGCACCATAGTCGCCTTCTCCTTGATCTCCAATCGGCTTGCCTCGGCCAGAAGTTCTTTGTACTTAGCAGATGTTATCGGCAAGCGATCCTGTACGAACTTGTAAAAGATGTTGATACGCTCTTCCTCGGGCTTGTTCGTGTCTCCGTCCAGCATCAGCGCTACATTGAAAAGTTACACACAAAAAGTCAATAAAAACTTCCATAAATGGGATAGTACAAGAAACCTTTTGTTTCTTCTGTAGGAAATATGGTATTAGTTCCCTTACGAGAACAGTAGGGTTGGAAGTTCAGGAGAGGCCGGTTGAGGAGAGTAAATATACGAGAGTAGTAAAAATAGAGCAATAGATAGGTGTCATATAGAAACAAACTCAAGTTTGTCTATTTGCTGTTGTTGAGCACGTACTTTTGGCTCCAGCGGAGAGCTCCTGCATTCTCCGCTGCATGGCCTCAACCGTCGTGTCTTCCGCCCAGTCATCGTCGTCGTCATCACCGCCTCCTTCGATGAGATCGTTATCTTCTGCCTCATTTTTATTATCACCTGTCAACAGCAAATTCCAGCGATAACATGTAAGCACATATTGATCCTTACTGTATTCGACTGAAAATCACCAGTTTCCTACAAGAGCATAAAAATGATTTTCATTTTTTGTTATATTCCTCCAGCACTGTAAGAACGCTAAACAGAAATGCGGTAGACGCGAATTTAAACAAACACATCCTTTTTTAAGTTTCCACATTGCATAAAAGACGCGTAAGTATTCTTTCAGCGCATTATCAATACACGACCAACTTCACTGAACGAGCACTAAAGGACCTATCTTTCTGTGATCAATCCGACGGACATCAGAGACAGTAGTTCTTACTGTGTCTTCACCTACAGTATGTATCTTTATTCGTCTTGTCTTACAGCAGTATGCAATCACTTTATTCGAAACATCATGGTTATAATAGTTTCTTCAGCTTGGTCCACGCTCCACTTAGCCATCGAGTCCAAAACAGTGAAACTAAGTTCCATGCAATGGATTCCATCACATAGCCATATAGACTCATCGCTGCTTTGCTAATTCAGTGCTATAAATAAACGCTTACCGGACTGTCGAATGAATTTTGTAATGCTGACCGATAATATTTTTCAGGACATACTATTTACTATCTAATGTTCTAAACACCTTTTGCAATGAGAGCTCATAGTCTGGAACCCTTGAAAACTTACACCTTTTGCAATGAGAGCTCATAGTCTGGAACCCTTGAAAACTTTGTGCTTCTCTAGTTCTGTAAATAGTACGCATGGGTCGGAATCTATTAGGACAACGTAGGTTATTCAGCGGAAATTATCGGCTTTGTTGGGTAAAGGTTTTTGTCTATAGCACTAGCTTCTGGTGTCAAAACTGATCATGTAAGCTTTAAACTCCCACATTCAATTGCTTCGTCCTGCCAGTGCTTCCTGATCTAGCGGGTTAAGTATAAGAGATAAGCATGGACGGCTCATTTGCTACTAGTTAAGGTTTTCTTCCAAGAAAACCGCTTCGTTCAAGAAAAACAAGACCACGTACTGCTACTGCCGCTGCTTTGTTACTAAGAGTAACACGCATCACTATGTAGATAATTCTATCATGGAAAACAAAACAATGAGAAAGAAAATGCCGAATAATTTACGACGAACCCGGAGCAAGTACTTCCTTGAAATCAATTGGCACAAGGACGGCGAGTTAGAATTCGTATTTTTTGCATATTTATTTTATGCAATGAGTTTTAGCGATAATTTCCCTTACATTTCACAACTGGCAATTTATGAACCCAATCCATTATTTAGAAGTACCGTTAAAGAAACAATCTACTGTCTCTCAAACAAAATCTCTTCCATATTTTTGACTTTACATGCGAACAGCTTCGAACGTTTTCGTAACTACATTTTTTTTTACACAAATAGTCGCTCCGATATCGTTGTATTCACGGTTAGGAAACCAATTAAGGAAAATAGAACAAGAGTGCTCTACCGCCTTCGCACTGCCAATATTACTTTTAGCCCAACGGCTTCAAGGGTATGTGAACGTCTGCCAGCGACCTCTAAAATATCTGCAAGCTTCCACGAAGTCACTATGACTATATAATCTTTTGTAAGCACAACTTTGTTGAAATGCCACATGCGTAGATTGTTGAAACGGTCTATGACACATCGTAGTTTCGATACAAAAATGCTTCTGCTTTAGTGACCAGTAAGAAATGCGTGTTCGAATACAATGGATTTTGCTGCGCTTTTATATAAACGTAGACCAAAGTGGCTCAATTTCATGACACGTAAGAGCACAGTCTTATTCAATCAACGTTGCAAACTGCATGTGAATCATAATACTGAGCTTCGGGACTTTTTTCGGAACCGTTTTCATAGCCGTTTGGTCCTATTTGCACCATAACACTCGCATCATTTTTGCTAACGCAGTTTCCCGTATTGTTAACTGACGGACTACTTCGTTCAGTAATCACATGTACACAGCTGTAGCAAAACACTTGCTAGTTAACTATCCAAAAACATTCTTCATATAAATGGATTTTATTAGGACTTCTACGAGCCGCAACGCGCAATACTAATAGTGCCGCTACGTTTCATTGAATCACAAAAAATGGTGTCTTGACCCATATTACGTGCCGTAATTGTTACTGTCAACAGCCCACAGGTCGAAAAAAATTCGTCGGTGTGATCTTATTCGCCTTACGCACTATATGCTTTACCTCGCGCTATGATAAACGGAACATCGTAGTGGTGATTAGAACTGACTAAGTTATGAGCTTGACTATTCTTACCCGACCGACGATTTTTTCCACTGGCGGTTTGCCTCGCATACGTGGCAGTTCGTCAACGTTACACCTGTGTGCAGAAAGCCTTACTTATGCCCGCTGGCAACTCCTAACCGCTGCACCTCTTGTTTGCTAGCTTATTCGCTTACTACTGATGCTGCTGCTACTGCTGCTGCTGCCGCGAAAGTATTCCCAATAACAGTTCTTTAGCCACGTCTATCGATTGCCACGACCAATGCTTGCCACTAAGAGTTATCATCAAAGCAATAGGGCAACAGCCGCTGGTTCCTGCAACTGCCGCGTTTCGTAGCAGTAGTGACTATCCCGTTTTGTTGCTGTAACATTGAATGGCTGCGGCAATACTGCGGCTCACCTCAACGTCTGTAGCTAACCAAGTTTGCAGCGGCGTCATACGGGGCTAAAACGGACAGTACCCGACGTTCGCTGGCCATGCCACACCATTGCTGCAGTTAGTATTTGTCATCGATCGGTTTACTTCTACCATATATTACAGATGGTAGTCGTTGACTGACGATGCTTAACAATGTCCATTTCTGAACAACAAACAACGCTCAGCCATGCACTAGATGGCTGATAATGATATTTGATTAGTCACAACTCGAAAATAATTCTATTTCTTCTAATTTTCCTCTTTTCCCGGTGAAAACCAATTACTATCACTAGCATCCTATAAAACGATATGAGACACGGAGGAGAGAAAGAAGGGGCTATAGTGGTACGCGCAGAGCGTGATACATGAGACAAGATGAGACGAAAAAAGAGGAATATTTTGGTGATTGCTTTCTAATCTGATGTAGCTGTCACAAAGCCACACAGAAATAACGCAGCTAAATAAGTCGAGGAGAAAGCACAAAAGGAAAGTTCGCTTATTCCATTGCTTTCGCTTCTGCTGTTGTTCTATGGTACACCATAGAATGATAAAGCTCCTAGAAACATCTTTGTATCCCGCATGATACATTCACTGACTTGGCTCTTTATGGCTTAGCTATAATCTTGCTGCAGTGGCTTGTAATTTCGCACGGACTGATTAGCCTCAAAGTGGAGTGGACTACAGAAAATGGTTCTTCACTAATAGCGGAATGTAAGCACGAGTACAGCGTAACCAACATAGGCTAGCAGGTAATCGAATATTTTTAGCGCCTCACTCATTCTTCAAAGAATAACAATCTTCGTAATACTAGAGATAGTAATAATACTGTACGCCGTCATGATGAAACCTCCCTGACCTTTAGAAATTAAGGTTTCGCCATTGTGAGTGAGGAGGAATTAGGTTGCACGCCGGCGGCTTTACAGCTGTTGGTCGGTTCCGGCTGTTTACGTGGCTATTTCCTGTTGAGGCTGCAACAGCATCGACGTCATTTGATAACCAGAATACCACTAGTAGTAATAGATACTGATTGGCAGACAGGTCATCGCCTTAGCTGCCGATGTAGACGAGAGGCGGACGCACTTACTTTGCCCTATTGACGCACGTTCTTTGGGTCTCCACTGTCCAGCAAATACCCTTTCCCTAAAAGACCAGTTTTGTCTCTCATCTTGGTATTTACTCTATGTACGTGGTAACTGTCTACAATAGGCAAGCATTACCACCATTATCAACTACGACGCCCTCCCCAAACAACTGTTGTCCCACAATAGGAACAGAAATCAATTATGAGACCGCTTTTCTACTAACATGTGGTGTCTGTTCACTTGGAGCAGTACCGCAGTTTTTGGGTCTTATTAATTATTATTTTTTATAGTATATATTATATACATATTTATATACACATATGTGTATATATGTATATAATATATACTATAAAAAATAATAATATATATATATATATATATATGTGTATGTGTATGTAGATATATATATATATAATATATATATATTTTATAAAATATATATATTTTATATATTTTTTTTCAACGGATTAGGCACAGCTCGCGCCCCTGATAACGTAAACCTGCAGAATGCAGAACAAACGTATGTTTATACATAATGCATATGGATAGATTATACACATCTGCTCATACGCCACTATACATGTAATATTATACATATGTTGGTCAAGTTTAAAGCAGGCTACTCAAAGCACAAAACGAAATCTTAGATGCTTTCCTAATATATAGCTCCTTCAACCTTCGCGTTGTTAGTATCGTGCGAACGACTAGACAGCCAATCGACATCGCCATGTAACAGTTTACCCTTGCCACAAATTCACTACGTAATGTCCCATATGACATATCCAAGTGCGAAATCGCGCTTCTGCGCCGCGTGTTTTCTCGGTGGCCCAACATGCCGTTGCCGTCACTGCTACTATAGATGGCCAAAATGCAGTGCGCTGCAGTGAACGCGCTGCACCGAATTAGTGACGCGAAAGGCTCATAGCCAGCTGCAGGAGAACAACAGCACCCGACATTGCGAATGCAGCGACACGACAGCAAGGTTTCATCAGCAACGTTGTATAAAAGCACAGACAAACGTGATGTCACGATCTTATCGTTACTAGAACGCCGGTATCGGTTAGTACTGCAATACTACTGGTCGCAACGGCGGCAGCAATGGCCCCGTTCTTGCGAAAGAATAAACGAGAGTAGCAGGTGTGACTGTAATCACACCCCACTGACTGGTACGAAAGATACCATTATGTGCTATGATAATGCACTGATGCTGAACATTCTTGCCAACAAATATTGTCGAATGCTTGCCATTGTTAATTCACGACTACGGTTAGTAAGCAAAACGGTCACACCGATCACGCAACCCACCCAGCGTATAACAGCTGAGAGTGAGGTTTAATCGAGAAATCGACTCCTTATCTATCAAAGCATATGTTCATGCAGACGCTTAGGCAAATGTCGGTTATTTTAGCCGATCTAGTCTTTGTGCATTACACAGTAAAACTGTTATTGGCTCACGGAAGCACGACGACAAATTAAGAATAACCTGTGAACGGGTAAAAATACTCGCACCGTAAGTTGTACTCGCATATGATGTATATGTATGCACAGCAACGGCGATAGCAACGGCTGTGCTAAGCTCAAGTATTAAACGCTAATAATTCAAATGTAAACGCATCACAACAAAAATTCTCGACTTTACACAGATTCAAAATAGTGCGCGTACATTCGCCAAACGCGTCTTCGCAGTTAGCGGATGTATCTGTGGTTTGCAATAGAGAATCTGTACCACCCTAACTCTTCTCGTATGTAAATACGGCTCAATACTGCTTCTGTTCAACACAACACTTTCAGCGATACGGAAAGTAGTCATCATATACGGCATTTGTCCATATTATAACAGACTGTCTTGCTTTGCGTAAACATTCTTAGAACTAACTCTGGTGGATTGATTGCTCCATGGATGAACTAGTTCTCCGCAAATGCGGCTAGTGCACTGACATAGCAGCTGACTGCTATCTTTTTAAAAAGATCGCATTTAGTAATTAAACATGCATGTAAAAAAAAACATGTAAATAGCAGTAACGTTTCGTTTCTGAAAGAATTGTGAATCATTGGAATTTTATTCCTCTCTTATTAATATATTATCCATATAGAAATATTGATTTCTCCCTTATTTTTTGCTTAGGTCAACTTATTAATTCTAGGCTATCAATTGGTTTGTTGTACTTCACCTTCCGTAATGAATATGATAGGCTATCAATTGGTTTGTTGTACTTCACCTTCCGTAATGAATATGATATTTTATTCTTTTTGATCTCAGTGACTAATTTTTTTCCAGAAACGAAACGTATTATTAAATGCCTATATCTTACATGTATGCACTATACTCAATGACTATTATATGCAGTTTTCTTCAAAAGGTCGCAAAGTCTGCATGAGAAATAGATAGGGTCATTACTCCTGATAAATGCAGCTAACTATGTAAGGATACTAGCAGCATTGTCAGCTGACAACTAAATTGCTGCATGGGGCAATCAGTCTGCCAGAGGTCAACGGTAAGGATAACGTTTACATTGTCATAATGTAAAACACACAACGTATGAGATGCTTACTTTCCGCATCGCTGATTTTGTGTATTACCTGTGATATGTGAAAAATAGATCATGTACCAACAACACAGGTATATCCATTATGTGTGAAAATTCATGTTTGTTTTCAGTTTGTTTTCATAGAGTTCATGAAAATCCTAACCCAATGTATCTAAGAAGTTTTAACCGTTTTTCTAGCTAAAAAGTAACGTGTCTCGGATGCTATGAGTCGCGTCGATTCAACGTTGATGTCTTTTGAAAGCTGAGATTTGGCAGTCATAGGTGAGCTAAGACTGGAATATTTGACACTTCTTGATAAATTGCTTTGAATATCGATGAAATCTCTGTATATACTCTACGATTTTAGTTCGATAAAAACAACTGCTGTCGAGACTCAAAATTTTACTCTTTATGGATAATATTTGTTATAGGAAGAAATGGTCGAATTTCAACGCGAAAAGTGATTACCGCGCGGATCGACCAGTTACAGAAAAAAGTCAATATTACTCCTAAAGGTGAACGAAACCGGTACGTTAAGTAGCCAAAAAACTAAGCATCAACTATTTACAAGTTTAAACTGTTTAAAGAAAGCTGGGTGCAAAAGCTCGACATCTGGGTGCCACCTGAATTGACGTAAAATGTTTTTAATCTATGAGGCTCTACACCAACGTAATGAATCCAGCCTAAAACTATTGATCGTGAGCGGTAATGTAGCAGATAAGGTAGTAGTGTGAAGAGTACTCCACATATTACGACGTAAAGCAGATGATTGTTTGGTAAGATTGGAATTATACATTACACAAAACGATAAGGATTTCTAAACATCCACAGACTGAAAATCGACCGTAATTTGTGAACAATAGGCGTCTTCCACTATCGCAGTCTTATTGTATCTTAAGCTACTCAGCAAATTGAGAGAACCTGGTTAGGACAAATGCCTTGATCTTGATGCTCCGAAAAAAGAATTCCTTGGTAGTTATAAGTTACTTTCAGTACAAAAATACAGAAACACCATATTTTTTCGCTCAAAAACTTGTAAGGGTTTTTGTTTCTTTCTATTTCTTTCTATCGTCAGACTAAGATACTATAGAGACCAGAGAATAGGAGGAAAGATATCAGAAGGTACTTCAATCAAACTGGCGCAGTACTCGTCTACTTTCGGTTACAAGCGGTCAATACTTTCTCGATAACTGTAGAATTCATTAAAACATTTACAGCATTGCAATAGTAAGTAGAAAAATGCTATACACAGCAGCATTATCGGTGTTTCTAAGCTGGCACTTTCTGCAGATGATTGTATATATTCACAGAGAGACGTATCCTAAACTCAAAAATAGAAGCTAACGTAAAATTTACGAGCTTTACGCGATTCCATGTGTGTTTACTACATTCATATCTGTGTATAATAGTAATTTGTAGTTAACAACGCTACATACCGTCAATGTCTTCATTTGCGGAATTCGTGGGCGAATCTGAAGCGTTATCCTTATTGTTGTTGTTCCTTTTCTTATCCTTTTTCGGGGTTTTGGCATCCTGCTTTTTTGCCGTACTCTCTGGTGGATTTTTTAAAATAAACGTGTTCAGCTTATGGTTAGTCTCTAGCTGACCAGAGTAGCCGCATGCCTTGCACGCTGTCGTGATGATTGCACGTTTCGGAAGCACCGTCAAGACCGTCTCGGGATTGTCGCATGACGAGCATAGGACGTATTTCTTGATGAAGCCGTCGAGGATATCCTGCAGTTTGTTGGCATCATGCTGCCCGTTCACGATATAGCGATCTTTCTTCGAGTCGAACTGGGTCTGCGAACCAAGCTCGCATCCAAAATACTTTGTGGGATAGGTCGGCGGACGGCTGAGTGCCTTAGCAATGTCACTCATATTGACGATCACAGTCTTGATGCCATTGCCTTTTCCCTCTACCTTGGCAATCAACTTAGGCATCTTGTAACGATAGAACTGGTCGTTAAGTGACCGGTTGACGTTGACGTACGCCATATTGTCGTCGTTGGATGGTAATGCTACTAATGTTGTAAGCGGTTTTTAAAAGTAGATTTGGATGTTTTCGATGTTTCGATTCCACGGAATGGTATAATTATTTTTGCGGACGGCGTTTGTCCCTTATGAAGACACAGATTTGTGTCTGGGGCTGCACCTCGTTAAGCGGATGATGGCGGTAGCGATGGTGCCTCGGTGGCGGTGAGTCGACAGCGTGGTCGGTCGCGGAAGGCGCCCACGGTGTTGCTGTCGACGAAGACAGTTTGTCGTTGGCAAGGCTACTAAGCGTCCGGAACAGCAGCGGCGGCGGCGACAGTATTGGAACTGGTTGTCCTTCAGGTGACACGACGACGGAGAGTCCCCCACGCCGGAGGCGGTTTTGGCATAAAGGTGGGATGTTGATGTTAGGACTTTCAGGGTGGCAGAGGTTTGGGAGTGGGTTTTGGGAAATTGGCGGTAGCTGGGACACGGCGGTTAACGACAGATTATCACCTATAACCTTGGTGTTGTCGTCCGCAGCAGCAGCAGATGCTGAGGCGAAGTCGTTTTCGGAGGCGCTTCCAGTGTTGGTAGCAGTAACTGCAGTCTGCGACAACAGGACAACATTCAGATTCCGAGGAGCTTCTAGTCGGGCTTCGTCGTCCTTGCCTTTATGGTGGCTCGATACCTTTTGCCTTACCTCGACCGAACAAATATCGAAGACAGTTACTGATTTTTTGTCGCTAATAGTTGTCGACGGCGCTGGCTTCGAAACTATTAATATCGGTTCTGTTGCTGATTTTTAATTGCAGATATAGATGTCAAAGATTGTCGTCGTCGTCATTCGACGCGTTATTTCGTTATGTGACAGCAGAGGATACAGTTGTTGAAGCAGCCGGTAGAAGTGCCGCGACGTTACAGCAGCAAAGGTTACTTGATGTTGAAGCGTCAGCTCCCGCCCCCCTGTTCTCGATTTCTTGAGCGGCTGATAATAATGAAGGAGTTGGAGAAAAATTCGTGTTCACGCGTTGTCGCACTAGCTACTAGCGCAAGCGTCACTGAGGATGCTGCTGCTGTCGTAGCCGAGACTGTAGCTGTAGCTGATGTTCAATCCCGCAAGTAGCAGGCGGTCAGGTAAGCTGGCGTGAGGTTGTCAGCAAGCCACTGGCTATTGTAGCTGCTCGTAGAGCATGAGTTGTCCTGACACCGATCACTCGGTGCTTGGGTCTTGTGCAGCACTTCAATCTCCTCCAGCTGCTGCTGTCGCAGCAGCAGCAGGTGACTACAGGAGTCTCGACAGGGGCGGTGCCCTGTAACAGGAGCCCTGTTCTGAGGGCGACACGGGCGGCCTGGGTGGCCGGTTTTATGGCCCGCTTGGCCGGCTGTGGGTCGACGTGGATCGCGGGAAGGCGTCGTGCCGACGTGGGGTGCGGCCGGGAATTGGGGTGACGGGTCGGCGGGGGACGCCGGCGACAGGCGGGCGGTTGACCTGAGTCGAGGCACGGCAGGGCGACCACACCGCAGCGCGCGCCACTCACCCTCATAAACAAAAAATCCAAAGAGGCTTCGCGCACGGCGATCAACGGGTTTGCAGGACAGGCACGGCTGTCCTAGAACTGCTGCTGCTCAGGCAGAAGGCCGATTTACAGTCTTTCTGCTTACCTGCGTGTCGGTAGATCTAATGGAGCTTGTAACGGCAGAAGCCGTAAGTTAATGGCCTGGGCACGTTACACTACTTACCCAGTTGACGATAGTGAATATGAGCGAAAAATCGCGTGCAGTAGTAACCCGTTGCTCGCACTCACACGAGGGACACAACAGGACTTTGACCGCTAAAACGAGTGAACACGAATGGTCAACAGCAAAAATTGGCGAAAAAGCAAAGCGACGCTGCTTTCTCGTCAGATTAGGTAGCTATAGCTGGCTAACGGGAACAGGCCAGCCACACTAGGTATCCAGATGGCGACAGAAATGCGAGGCAGGCCAAGTAAGCAGCAGGCGAACTAGCACCACAACGGCTCTTGCAGGAATGACTGGTGTGATAGTGCTGCTGTCTGTACCGTTCTTACTGCGGGTGCGAGGCCGACCGATATGGCAGCCAATCTGTTAACACAAGTTGATGGTGATAATCGACTATCCTTTCACCTCACCTCACACTTTTAAGGGAATAAACAAAGTTCGTAAGCAATCGTCGTTAATGGCGCAGCCGTTCGCGGTGGACACGTTCCTCACGAAATCGTATCGAGGTTCGTCGTATCACTTAGAGAAATCGCAGGCACCGAAGCGAATCTCTACTTGAAATTAATCGACACAATCCAATGTTCGCACCACACAATGATGCGAACAACGAGGCTTGATTCGATCCGAGCGTTGATCTCCGTTAGCTGGACTGAGCTGTGCTGAACTGACCAGTGATCCCTCGTCGTAATTCGTCGACTACTCTCGTATGTCGCTGTAGTAGCACTGATGACGTCCTCCTGTCTGGCTGGCTGCGACTGCCCCAGGAAGCCCCGAGCAGTGGGAATCGTGTGCAGCACACAGCATCAATGGAGGCGCAAGCGAGAGAGAGGGCCTAGCGCCGCTTCTGGATACGAACCGTTGTGTAAGCAACGCATGCAAACGTTTTTCACATCGATTTCCGCAACTTCAGGTAGATTTCGCACCGTTAAAAATGCGCGGGACAGGCAATTGCAGCTGTGACAAACTACATGAAAACTGTGTATGCATTATTTGAAAAAGGCTGTTCGTTGTAAGATTTAAATAGTTTCTGTTTAGGCGTAAAACCTTGCATTTCTGCGTGAGTTCACACAAGTCTAGACGGATATTAACTGTGATAAAACTAAAACAACAACTCAACGGATTTCCTCGAACCGCGAAATTGTATGGCGCGAAATACTATCTATATAGCAGCAGCCAAAGGCTTGCCCGACTCCATAGAAGAGAAATGGTGAATGTGTGGTACAATGCCCGCCATAGGTTCTGTGCAACATCTGATCGTAATCAGCAAAAGAAAAGGAGCTGCATCTACAAAAACGGGTTGGAATTTATGCAGAGGAAGTACACGACAAAGCGCTATCCGAAAGCACGTCACCTCCTAGTCATCATTTCTGTCACTCTTGAACAAGCCAAACCAAAGGGTGTCCCATAGTCGCGATCTCTGCATGTAGGGGCGGAAAATGCTGACCATAGCATGCTCGCGAATGTCGATAGGGTTATGGCATGCTCCAGCCCCTGTAGCTATTGTGAGTCCCGCAGTAACACAGTTACAAGAACTGCGTATGCGATTTAAAAATGCGCGCAGATTTGCTTCCGTCTTTACAGATCCTAAGCCTGATACCATTCTCGTAAATGGAACAAAATATCAAACTGATGATTGGACAAATGTTACCCCATCTATTCTGCAGCATCTTCAAAGTGAGGCTTGATGTCAGCTGTTTATTCTTACTCTGCAAATGTATACCCACTATGTAGTATATGGTTTTAAACAGTGCTAACAGACTTATGTTTGTACGTTTTTTATTAGTTACAACCAATTATATCCTTCTCGAAATAAATGTTTACGATAAACACGAAGAAATATTTTTGCGAAACGTAATTTACCTTTGTTCATTGATATTTGCGTCGATTGTGTCTACATGGCAGAAAAACTGCATCTACGCGATAAGCATCCCATGAACTTACTAAAACAGCTTATCGTAAATCACTTCAACAAAAAACATGTCAACAGAAGGGGCAATCCGATCTTTTCTGTTTACGACCAACTCACACCAGTCGTCACCACTGAACAGGCGAGTATTATTTCTGCGAATGATGGGTTGTACTATAAAGAGTGGCGGCGGCGGTATTTTGCCTTAATAAGTAAACTTAGTAACTTTACACTAAGGTTAAATATTTCAATTACGCGTGCATAAATATGACGTGTATCGGATGTTTGTTTTATGCGTAAGCCGTAGCCGTTTCACTAACAGTCTAAAAACAATTTTTAAATATTCATGATTTTACAGAACTTCGACTCGCTACTTGTACCTACGGACCACCCATCGCGTGCGCGATGTGATTCATACTACGTAAACCAAAGCCATATGTTACGAGCTCACACGTCAGCCCATCAGAGAGATCTCATAGCATCTGGACTAGATGCATTTCTTGTTATTGGCGATGTGTACCGTCGTGACGAGATCGATCGAAGGCACTATCCAGTTTTTCATCAGGTTTAGTTTTCCACTTATTGCCTACTGCTATTTTACATTGTATGCTAGTTGCATTGAAGATCGCTGTTCTTTGCACTAGGCTACCTTCTGGCAATCTTTTTACCTCACATTTACAAGCGCCTACCGCTTGCACCGTTTGCGTAGACTATTAGAAAGGCAATAAAAAAAAAAAAAAAGTGCAATAAAACCGTACAAAAAGTAGAGTGTACGTTCTTAAGAAAACAATAGATTTAGCCATGATCTCTAACAAGTGTAAAAGACAGCAAGTGTACAATATCTTATTATGATGCTCTTTAAAGGCAAACAATCCATACCCAATTCTGTACTAAACCCAGTATTTCGTTAAGAAGAGACTTCAGGTTATTCATGAAGACAGGGAGTGGATAGCCCGTGTTCAACCGCATGTTGATTTTTACATTTTATACAGGTGGAAGGGGTTCGTTTGTTTACCAAGGACCAATTATTTAAGACACAAGCCGAAGAACTTGCATTGTTCGAAACTGTCTCGTCCCGCGCACAGCTGGATAATAAACAAGCCTGTCACTCAATGGAAACAGCTAAGATGCTCGAATTCGACCTTAAGAAATCATTAGAGGAGCTAGTTTTAGATATCTTCAAGGAAAAACTCGACTTCCGATGGGTACGTTCCGCTTTGCATTCACTATCTGGAGGATAGTACGTTTATTTCTTCTATGAAGAACACCAACAAGCTTCAGTACGTACATACCAATCAATGGCATTAAGCGACAGTTGAGCGACTCATTAGATGTGCAGTGAATTTCATTGTATATGCGAATAATGTAAAACCTAGAGAACTTTATGCTCTACAAAGCATTAAAAATATTTCAATATTTTTTATATTATATTTATATTTTTTCTAGGTAGCTTTGCCTAGAAATCGTTGTAAAATAAAATATTATTGTACGTATTGTACTTTAAAATGATGTGGATGAAAAAACGTTATTAATAAACACTTTGTCTAGGTGGATACGTATTTTCCCTTCACTCATCCGTCGTTTGAGCTTGAGGTCAAACTTAACGATGTTTGGGTAGAGCTTCTTGGTTGCGGTATTATAGAACAGTTACTGCTGAGAAATGCGGGAGTTCACGAAAAGGTAAATCGGTCAATCAATAGGCGTTGCGATTGGTTGATAAAGACGTCAATTAGGAACTAGTATTTGTTGCATATGTACAGTTTGCTCAAAGTTTTAGGGAAAAACACACGCGTGTTTAAAAAAATCTTTCGCTTCAGTATTTTTTTTTCTTTCGAGATGTCATTTCTTCTTCTGTTATTTAAGTATTAAGTAAAAATATCATGCTAACGATTAGTGCTACAGTAAACGCTGTATGCCTTTTTTTCATAATAGGTGGGTTGGGCATTTGGTATTGGTCTTGAGCGAATCGCTATGTTATACTACAATATCGATGACATTCGGACTTTCTGGAGTGACGATCCGGGCTTTCACGCACAGTTTAATTTCACTGATCCCAATAAGAGGATCTCATTTCATCCTCTCTCGAAGCATCCGGCCTGCATAGCAGATCTGTCGTTCTGGATACCTGACGGTTTTCTAGAAAACGATTTTTACGATATGGTAAGCGATATAAAACTAACTTCAAGCCCCAGCTTTTAGCTGTCCACCACAATAACCGAGTACTTTTGCCTTACAGTACTTAACTTTTCAAAAGACATGAATCATAGTTCCAAACACGTAGCTGTAGGCCTCGATTTTGAAATAGCTTTATTGGTTTGAATAATAACAGGACATTAGGACATTTTGTTTCTTTGAGGTCATCCTGATGGTTGTGACGTAGGAAGTGTTCCACCGGTCAAATACCTTCCGACACTTCGTTTGCTTCTATATATTGTTTATATTGTTTAAAAGACTTATTATTTCCAGCTATACCGCGGTGGACACTAAAATGGCACAGAGGTGACGATAGAGGTGGCCACTCTGGTTAGTCGACTAAATATGGGTGACATCATTGGAAGGTGAACGCTAATTTCGCATGTTAACGATTTCTTATGTTACTTCCAGGTCCGGTCAGTAGGGGGCACTCTAGTTCAAGAAGTTTCTCAAATAGACGTGTTCAAGCACCCAAAGACAGGCCGTACGTCTCATTGTTACCGTATCACGTACCGTCATATGGAAAAGACACTCACGCAGGACGAAGCAAACGAAGTGCACTGCGCCATCGCTAGTCAAGCGCAGGATGTCTTGTCTGTAGAACTTCGGAAAAAATAAAGAAATTTTCCATTCAATATTATCAGGCTAGTACATTGAATGCGGTAAAATCGGCTAATCTACTATGTCATGTAAAGCTGTGGAAATATTATTGGAATATTACAATGATTAATTTAAAAAAAATTAAGAACTTTAAACAACTTTATGCCGTAAATTTAATTGAAAATTGATGTATTTAGAATTAGTTAATTAATAATTAAGAACAGATTAATTTATTATTAGCTGTTTATTTATGAACGGTTATCATCACAAATGTCGAATAATATGGGACGTCAGGATAGTATTTGAATAAAGGATGTATATAAATACTTAGTACTTGGACAAAATTTCGAGATGTCCTGTCCTGTATTATTACAGGACTTCAGGTTCGTAAATTTAGTCGTTAATAATAATAATAATGCTGATTTGACAGAAAGTGAGTTGCGCGATAGTGACCCTGAATTGTAAATAAATGGTTGACTAGATTGATTCCAATGAATTCTTGTTTAAAGTGGCGCGATTTTTACCTCCCAATAGTGCGTGGCTTAGCCATTAGTTCGGCGTTGTTTTTTCATAGTTGATATGAGTTACCTACTGTACTGTTAACCTGCGTACGTTATTTTCAGTATGTAAAACGTATTTTTCTTCTTTCATTACATTGATGTTCTTCCCATTCTTCTTCCAAAAGTGTTCAGATGATTCTAAACCCTTAAGACCGAAAACCATGTACGTTGCAATGTAAACAATTATTATATACACCTAAACTAACCTTGTGTATACATCTTATTAAATTATGGCAAGCCATTTATTATTATTAATGCATTTTTCATAGACTGAGATGTCTGTCTGTGAGGAAGCTCAATAGAGCTTCGCCCGCTAAGATTTTAGGTATTACAACATTTAAAAAAAAAATGAGAACACCAACTCCGACGTACATTTTCGGGAAGTTCACTTTTTCAAAAACTAGCATTTATTCGAAGGAAGCACATTACTGAATATGTAAGTAAAAACCATAACTTACCGCCGATAAACAATGTTTATACCACAAAATTAATAGTATAGTCATAGGCATTCGATGCTCTTGTTACTTGAATCGACATTAACATATGTTTTTTGTGCTTTGTTCAACTAAACGTGACGTGGCCCTACTCTGCTTATTAGGCAAATTTGCTTTGCGGTAGTCCTTGCTCTGACCTACCTTAAATACGTTTTATTCTCTATTTTCGAAGGTTCGAACGTTTCGATTTACTATACATAGGTAGTAAAGTGAGGATCGCACTCCTCATGCAGTGCCCCTTTGTATGGGCGCAAATCGTGTTCATTACTCTTCATACAAAGGTATAGTTGTAATTTAGTTTCTTTATGTTTACTAGTTCGTTCCAAATGGACGCATTCTGTTCAAATACATCGTGAAACCGAACAAGTCAAGGAGAGTCCCTGACGAGATCACCTGTCTATCTGGCTGAAATCCTATACAGAATGATCCGGCCTATTCTTCAGTAGAATAAGAACATTCAGTCTGCATTATGTAATACTTAGTGTAATTATTACATTATGTAATAATTACACTAAGAAGAATCAAAATTTAAACCATGGCGGGCTTTCGATGGCGCTATGGATACATGTTAGTCACCACCGGCCAAACTGCAGTCGAGGAGAGAGATAGTAGCTATGCTAGTGCTAGCAGTATGTGGCGTCACCTGGTGGCCATTTAAAAAGATGAAGCAAGCGTGTGCCGTAAGAACAAGGGGTCGTTGTTGTTAGTGAAGTGAGACACAGACCGAACGAGCGAGCGGACGGCGACCGAACACAGCGGCTAGCTTCGTCTGGCTGTGCGATGCGGACCAGCGACAGCAGACCGACAGACGAAGTCAGTGAGCGGAGCGAAGAGTGTGCGTGTGACTTGCATGGTGTTACTGCAGTGGTAGTAGCAGTAGCTATTGTAGCGACTGCCGTGCATTGCTGAGTGAGTTCCTTCAGAACGGTGAGTGGTGAGTGAGTGCCTGTCTGACTGGCGACGAGCGTTTGTACCTATGTGCTATTTACTGTATAGATTTCAGCCGCCCCATATTGAGAGCGTTTACTTATGAGGTAGAGTAGGGAGAGAGAGAAAGCAAAAAGGGCGAGAGATGTGTTAGGTGCAACTGCTACGCAGAGTGCAAGCTGAGAGGTGATTAACGACGATGGCAATTTTGTGAGTATCCTGCTTCGAGACAAATGGTCCAAGAAATAGCTGTTCCGAATCGAACCTATACACATGTGGTTAGGTTTACCCAAATGAGAAAAATTGCGAACGTGTAGAATCATCTCGAGTGATTTACTTCTATCACTGTTGTTCTGGCTGTGCTTATGGCTTGAATGATCTTAAATCTCTTAGTGGTATAATCTGTTCCAAGAGCAGGCCTATTTATACTCTTACGAACTGGCTTTTCTCACACTAGTTCCTTTGTAGTTCGAGGTGTGACCTTCGAAGTATCCATGAATATCAACCAGAATGCTTGTCAGTTGTAGCATTATCTCATAGGACTACTACCAGAGATGATTCTGAGTAAAGAACGTCCTCCTGTATGCTTCTTAAATTATTTATTTTTTCTAAATTATTCATTTATTCGTTTTCATCAATTCCATGCGACTTCTAAGTTTTCGGTGAGTTAACTGTCTTTTAAGCATTATTGGGCAAAGCGGTACGAGAATTTTAGCATTGTGCAAGCTGCATTTGGGGTCACATGATGAAAAAACGGCGAATCCTCGCAAATGCCGAGCCAATATCGTGTTTCATATCGAAGATTCACAAACTTCAACAGTTAAAAAATGTAATATGTTCAACTCAGATGTTTTAAATAGTCGAGCTAGATAGTGAGATGTGACGCATTATCCCACAAATAGCCGCAGCTATTAGAGTGTTTTTAATCTTTCGAGTTTTATGTCTGCTACCGCGGTTAGCCATTCTATCAAACGGAATATGAAACGCCACCCGACTTTACGGCAAACAGGGCCTAACTACATCGGCAGTGATCGAAGCATGTTTGTCATGAGCTGTTTTCCGTCTGTCAACGCATTGGTGTTGCTTACTCTAGATTTACATTGTAGTTACGATTCATTGCGGCTGATTTAACATGTGACATCTAAAAGCCTATAGCAGGAGACAGTTAATAGTATGAGGTGAACGTTAGAACTCGGTTTTATTCTCAGCCATAACGCGAAAAAAAATTAAAATAAAATTTCAAGAAAAAAAGAGAAAATTCAACCACATCTTTTGCTACCTGCGAGTTAAATCGGATTTAATCATTCTCTTGTAGTCATTTTCGCTTTGTGAAACGGAAGCATCAGCAACAACTATAAAATTAAAGACAGTGGGAAAAAAACGGACCGTCGGGACTGAGTGCAAGAGTGACTGGTCTGCTGTCAATTTTTGGTTCCTCTTCCGCGAACAAAAAGGTTTCGGTTAGTTGTTGTAAACTGAGGTACATTACTTAAACTCACTGGTATAACTATAATGACATACGTAGGAACAGGCATACAAGTAAGCACCATTCCATTCTGAAGTGTAGCTCCTGCAAAAATATACTGAATAGCATAACATTATGAAGGCTCATTTTTTAGAGGTAGCAATAATATCGTGCTGCCATTACTAGAAAAGGACTATATAGTATGAGACGACAGCTGCCCATGCGCTCAATCTTCTCGTTGTTACTGAGAATAGGTGTATGCACCATTTTTCATCTCTCATCCGAATATCCATGGAACATATGCTAGTTGCGGAGATAATTTATATACAATTGTCTGAAGACTCCGTCTGACAATTGTCTGAAGTTTCCGTTTCCTTTTGTTTCGCAATTAATTTATTGGTACCCTGTCTTTCTTTTTTTCTCTTCTTTGGATTCCGAACTCTTGCATAGAAAATTTTGTCTTGTTAAAATTTGGTAAAATATATGCATCTCGAATACTACCTAAAAACAAGCTTCTTTTTGTAGTGTGTCCACCCATAACAGCATAGACTCTTCTAAAAGACAGCATCAAGATAACGTATAACTTGTGCATACTTACGATTGAATGGTTGAGTTGAAAATAAATATATATATCATCATATATAATTCGATCAATCTAATTCGAGTCGTCAGCTTAAATAAGGGAATCTTAAGTAAACACCACACACCCGATACTATAGACACATGATTATCACGATAAGAGATTCTTAATTTTTTTACCTATATATATATGCAACAAATTTAAAAACAGTAATTCCATTAGCTCTACACTCGTTAAAGAGTGTCTTTTAAATGGAAGAAAATTGAAGGCCCTTAATGTTTTTTATACCCCATTTCACGCATGCGCTAGGTAGCTTACATTAATCGCCAGCGAAAAATTTCTATTAGATATCCCAATCTTTATAACCGTATAATTATATGTTGATGCACTTTATTGCACTTTGCCTGTCCATAAATTAACGTTAACTTTTTGTTATTATTAATAGCGAACTAACTGTAAATCTTTCATTCAACCAGCTGCCGTATCGTTCAGTCACAGTATCCTTCAACCACCAGAACTGGTTGAGAGAAGGATTTCGCGGAAATAGGAAGTTTTTCCGAATCAGTGAAGCACGATGGATACTTGGACGATTCCACCGGAGATGCGCGCCAAATATGACGCCCGGTTTGAAATCATCCAGCAGGGCGGCGCTGTTACTGGAGATGTGGCTAGGGCGCTTTTTCTTAAAAGCGGACTTCCGCCTCAAGTGCTAGCAAAAATATGGTATAGAACTATTTACATAGTTTTTACTTCTGTAGTCCTATAGTTCAAGTCCTATAGTAGACGTGGTTATCGGTTATTTACAGATAGGCTTAATGAAAAATTAATAAATACGCTTTGATAGCTTTATTTCATAAAGGTCAGATTTCGTATATTCTTAAAATAGACATTCGGAAGAACGAAGGTAATCTTTCGTTTCATCATGTTTACTTATATTGTCAGGGCTCTGGCCGACATGGATGCGGATGGCCGCATCGATAAAAAAGAGTTTTCTATTGCTCTTTGGCTAATTGCGATGAAACTCAAGGGTATCGAGGTACCGGACAGACTTCCTGCATCTATGCTGGCTCCGCCACCTCGTCCACCACCTTCTGCGGATCCATTTGTAGCGACTGGGGCTACCCCACCAAGGCCAGGGCCACCTCCACCTGTTCCACCCGCCCCCGCGCTCTCCGCCATGGTGCCGCCCGTTGCCATTCCAGGTAAACATTGTAACAAAAACGACATTAATTTATACCATGTCATCGTAGGTGCAGCTACATTTTGAATAGTTTAAACGCAGTTCATCATTTGTTAACACAATTCCAAGGTACCAAAGAAAATGGATAGGTAAACCGACACACGAGGGATATATAATGGAGAGAGGCAAAGAGCTAAAAAGAAATAAGTTTAGTCAATACCCTTCTCTGCATGGACTCTGTTATAATTGTTGTAAAGCGGTGTAAATAATCAAACTATGGGTAATATTTATGGGTGAATCTCGATTTATTGTTTCGATGTTACACATACAGACACTTAACGAATGTGTGATGCGTCCCATGGATGTATAGTAATGGGAAAGCAGCGCAGAATTCATTTATCAGTTCACTTCAGTACAGTTGCTTTTTCTTCAGTCCTGTTTACTGTCTACATTCATTAACGACACCTACAATGCCTTTCCTACTGCTTCGATTATCCTTCTTCTACCAACTTTTTCAAAAACGATAACAACAACAATTACGTTACTAGCAGCTGGCAGAGTTGGCGGGCCGCCGCCAAAACCCCCGCCACCTGTCAACATGCCTCCACCGAAACCGGCACCACCAGTGATTCCACCTGCACCGCAGGTGGTACCTTCAAGCGGAATTGGATCGGTGCAGCCAGGCGAATGGGCTGTAGCCCAACAGACAAAACTCAAGTATACCCAATTGTTTAATCAGCACGACAGGCAGAGAACGGGCTTTCTGACAGGAAATCAGGCCAGAGGAATCCTTATGCAGACTGGCCTTCCGAACGCTGTTTTAGCTCAGATATGGCAGCTCTCCGATATTGATACCGGTAAGTGACCTTATTTCTTTGTGAATTTATAACATGCTCGATATTACCTTGTTACGATACTAGTAATAACAATAATAGTTTTCAACGTTTACGACATTACAATGTGTTAGATTTATATTCATATATCCCACTGAGTTAAAATGTCTTCTCAGCAGGCGTGTTATTATATTGCATGTCCATTATCAAGTGTTTTTCTCTCTTTGCTGCAGACGGCCGGCTAACTAGCGAAGAGTTTGTGTTAGCGATGCACCTTTGTGAACAGTCCCGATCGGGACAGCAACTGCCTACAACTCTGCCCGTCGATCTGGTCCCTCCGTCTTACAGACGGAGAAACAGTGGAGCTAGACACGATTCCGTTGGATCTGTGGGCTCAGCCGGATCGCGTGGAATAAGCGGACAGGAGGCGATTGTTAGCCCACCGATGACACAAGAGGTAAAAGAATTACGCATCTCTTATAAAACCAAGATATGTATTTAATCACTAGGCGAAACATTCAATGCGTAGATGCGGTGATGGTGATGATGCCGGGATTCTTAGCTATATTTGGTAAAGCACAGTCGTACTGAGTAATTGGAGTATCAAAAATACACTTTTGTTTTTACACACAATCCTAAAGAAATAACCTTATATTCAATAGTATGGTACATTTATATCTGATGAGAATGATTGTCTTACTCTTTTTTTATTTAATAATTTTAAGCAACACTTAATTTCACTCAAATAGAATAATAAGATATTACTTAAATCTATTCACTGTTCTCTGAACAAGTATTCTACAAGTTGGCTGGGTAGGTTTGTACAACACTAGTAGAACGTTGTTTTATTAACAGTTATACATGTATCTTTCGCATTTTCTCGACCAGTGGCCACACGAGAGTTAGGTTAATATTCTAGATTACCATGGCTAAAAAGCTAGTGACACCAGTTAGCTTTAAGCGTGGCAGCCTAAAACTTTGACTAACAAATGCTCTCACTAACATTGGCTGCCTACATGCATTGAGTACTAACTACTAACATTCACTTAGCATCAACTCACACTTTGGCGGCAGCAACACGCATCAGCCTTCGCTCAACGCTCGTTCTCCAGTATCGTGCGCGTACTTTTTTCCATCTCTAATCTGTGTCTCAATAAATGATATCGTACATGTACTACGGCTCACTACGAATATATAACGGATCTGCGTGTACATGCGCAAATTCTCTACTATATATTCTCTACTTTTGCCTCTGTTTTTTTCTACGGCAGTTTCTTCATCGATATTATTCACAAAGGCATTACATTCCTTACTTTTCCTGGCATGTACACTTCGGCGTTTACACCAACAGTTAACGTTCCAATGTCCAAACTAGTGAGCACTATGCTGTTTCTTCCTACGCAGATGGTAGATAAATTTTGAGTTTATAAAAATCAACTTTTTCAACGGTCGGTCCCCTCATTTAATTATTCGCGCGCGTCTCAAGAACAGCGAACGCTTTCAATAGGCGTTTCTGTAAAGTGCAGAGGTTCGGACGCCTACTGTCGCGTGGATATAGTGGTGGCACCCATAGTAACGAAACGTATCACGCGACAGACTGTCGCGCTATTATTCCGCATTTTGCGGGTAGCCGTTGCATCGAGAAGCCAGTTTTATCGCACGTAACATAAAATAATTAGTACATATATATACACACGGTGTCGCCATCTTTCTCTTTCTACTAACTAGCGTGATATCATCGCTGTCACAGCTAGTGATGGTGATGATGACCTACTGCTTGTGTCTGCTTTTGAATCGTGCCTGTCCATGCTACATGAAAACTGGAACTTTCTTGATAAAACCCATCTTTTCGAGTAGAATGTGATAGTGCTCTTCTCTTAACCGTTTGCTGCTCGTGTTGGCAAACGACCAGGTAGGCTATGGCTTCGTCAGAGCTTTTTGGTAACTGATTTTGCTACAAAAATTGGCATATATGGCATATATCCCTAGAGCGCGGAGCTGATTGGAAGCCTATCCGTGGGTTATGCAACGTTTGAGGACAGGCGACGGGAGAACTTTGAGAAAGGTCAGGCAGAGCTCGAAAGACGACGCCAGATAATCGTCGAACAGCAAAAACGTGAACAGCAGGAGAGAGAGCGCAAGGAACGCGATGAAATGCTACGCAAGCAAAAAGTAGGTAAACGCCTATGGAAACGCAAGAACGTTAAGCGAACACTTCATCCGATTTGAGATATATACAGTGAAGAACAGCAGCAACGAAAAGCTAATAAGCTGCTGCTGCTGGAACCAATTGGTCATGCAGAGCAACACATGGAACAACAGCTGCAAGCATCGACAGCATAACAACAGCACTATAGCTTAGCTTTCTACGGTAGGACTGGCAAAGGTGATGCTGAATATACACATAATATATATATATATATATATATATATATATATGTGTGTGTGTGTGTGTGCATTAATATCTTAGGGAGGGACTTCCTAGTCAATAATCATAGAAAACGATGATGCAAAGTTTTTACAAATGTATGTGGTCAATATGACGTTTTTTGGTAATTTGTGAAATTATTTCACGTATGTTTTCGCCGTTGTCGTTTCTGGCGTATCCGGAATATTTGTCCGTGTATGTGTCTCTATGATTAGATGCGGCAAGAACAAGAGCGCAAGCGACAGGAGGAACTTGAAGCCGAGCGCGAACGACAGAGGCAACGCACGGAAGAACTTGAAGCGGAGCGAAAAAGGATGCAGGAGCAGAAGGAGGCTGCTCGTAAGGAAATGGAAAGACAGCGAGAACTTGAGTTGCAACGGCAACGCATTACCGAGATGACAGCCCTCAAACAACGCACCCAGGAGGGGCTCTCCCTGCTCAAGAGGAGAAAGCTCGACCTCTGTTTGCAGGTCGAAAGGCTCTCTAGGGAGGTGGGTGAGGTCAATGGCAAAATGGCTGTTCAGAAAGAGGAGGTCGCCACGGCTAAGGCGTTCATCGATGGAATGCGCCCTCAGAGAGACGAGATCATGAGCGAGCTGTCAGAAATCAAAGCTCGTTTGAAGGAGTGTTCGGACGAGGCTTTGCTTCTAAATCAAGAGAAGTTGAATATGCAAAATCAACTGGCTTCTCTCAAATCGAAGGCTGGCAACAAAAAGCGCGAGCTAGAAACAAAGATTGAAATGGCTCGCAAACAACTACAGCAACTTACCAAGTAAATACATTTTAGCTAGCATTATTCTTTTGCTACAGCTAGGCAGTGTAAAGGTGTTTTTACGGCAGGAAGTTTGTAACTATATTCATTGCACTCTTGTGTAGGCACTTCAGGAAGTCTGAGTTCCAAAGTAGACACGTAGCAAAGAATGCTCCTTTAGTTATCCTGCAGGTAGATATGAACGAGGATATAACAATACGTATTTATTAACTTTCGGTAAAACAACGTGTACTGACAATAACTGGTGGTAACTTTTAGTGAGGTTAAAAACAAGACAGCAGAGGTGGAGAAATCTGAAAAGGAAGTGGAGGACAAAGAAAATGCCAAGAACGCGGCGAACCACGACGAATCTGTATGGGTCAGTGTTGCTCCGGCCAAAGAAGACAAGGCCGAAGATCTCTCAAAACCCAAATGGGATGACCCTACAGAGGTTAACTGGGGAGATGAGGCAGCAAAGACAGCTCCTGTCGTTCCACCGCCACCTACGCAGGCGACCATGGATGCTTGGGGTGATACTAAACCTTCACCGGACGTTTCTGTTGGTGGTAACTGGGGTACGGATAATATCGCCAAAAGTTGGGCGGATCCAAACGGCACTACTGTCCAGGCAGGAGCCATCAGCACAAAAAAAAAAGAAGAAGAAGCTACAAAATATCGAGCAGTGTATAAATTTGAGGCGCGTAATGAAGACGAACTGTCATTCCAACCCGGGGATATCATCAAGGTTACCGTTGGTGAACAAGGAGAACCAGGGTGGCTCGCAGGCGAGCTGCGAGGCAAAAGTGGCTGGTTTCCGAAGTCTTATGTTGAGCCGGTCGATGGAGGAGCGTTGACGTGGGACTCAGCCCCGGCCGAGACCGAGGTTAGGTCCACTCCATTAGACACCGTAGAAGAAGAACCTGGCGCGGGTGAAGGAGAGGCAATTTACTACGCCCTTTACCAGTACAATTCGACGGAGGCGGGCGATTTATGTTTCCCTGCTGGAGCAGCCATCAAAGTCACGCAGAAAAATGGCGACTGGTGGACCGGAACCTACAATGGTGCCTCGGGTATGTTCCCTGGTAATTATGTTTCAGCAGACGAACTCGTAAACGCCGAACCGGAAGCTGTAACCAACGTGCCAGCAGCACAGGTTGCTACAGAGGATGAAAGACAGTCCGAAAAAGCTAACGGAAAAAGGTTAGTTCAGTACTGTGTTTAATTCTACTTATTAGATACCTAGATAAAAAGATTGAAATTAGTTCTCATATAAGTCTCTTTTATTTTGAATGCTGCACTTTTGTATATATACAAAAGTAGAAAAAATATGCACAAAAAACTTTATATAAAGTTGAGGAAATAAAATAAATAATAATCTGAACAGAAAGGTTATAAAGTTTTCACAAGTTCGCTTCCAGTGCGCGCTTTGCAGACATTGTCTATATGTCGACCACTTGACGATATCCATTACAATTTCTGAGGCCAATATAGACGTTTGCTGAACGAAACCCATTATTTTTTTATTGTCAGGTCGAGTACACCAAATGATTCAAAGAAGAGCATGAAGAAAAAACCCGAGATCGTCGTAGTTGTGGCGAATTATGATGCAAGCGGTGACGGTCAATTAAATCTAGTCAAAGGGCAACTTGTGCAGGTGCGCAAAAAAACTGACGGTGGCTGGTGGGAAGGTGAGATTCATTATAAGGGCAAAGGCCGGAAAAGCGGCTGGTTTCCTGCCTCGTATGTCAAAGTGCTTGCTGGTCCTGGAGTAGGTGAAAAATCTGCAACAGGTGCAGCGGCATCCACATTAGCATCTGCTTCATCCCAGGAAACTTCCACAGAATCAGTTCGAGGAGAAAAAGTAAAAGCTGTCTACGATTTCCAGGGACAACAAGAGGACGAGTTGAATTTCGTATTGGTAAGTGGCTTGTGCCACACGGTGCCGCATGAGCGAATCCCGGTAGGATAGAATATAAAATTTCTTTAGATCGTAAGATTATTAGCAATAATTTATAAATTGTTGTCAAAGAAATTATTGATCGGTAATTTTATTTCATTATGAGTACCAAAAAAACTAGAAATGTTTAGAGAGTTACGTTCTCCACTGATAAGCTTTGCTTCAGACGGCTGATCCGTATGTTTTATAGGTAAACTCGCCAAGAGGTCTGTCGGCTATGGTTCTGTCCCCAAGACAGATCAGCAAAGTCATAATCGTCATGTTTTATTCGACGTGAAACTGAGAATATATATTATTACAATAGATAAAGCATTTCTCGATTCAACTGCTAATCTCATAATATTACTGTTTTAGGATGAAATTATCGTGGTTACGAACAAGGATGATCCTGCCTGGTGGAAGGGCTACAAGGCAAGCGATGGTCCCACGATGGAAGGCCTTTTTCCTTCGAATTACGTTGAACCGATCTGTAAGTAATAAAAAATAAATTCTGTTTTTTCTTAAAAGATATATATAGCTAATGTTTTTAAAGGCACGTGGTGCGGTTGTAACTGCTTAAGTGCTCAACTGCTCTGTGAAGGGAAAGGAACTGCATGAGGTGTACAAATTCTGCCATTCAGTGGCAAAAAAAGTGAGCGTTCTAAACCGTCAAACATATTCAATGCATTTGTTGCCAGTAGTTTATATCGACTACTTGTATTCTTTCATTTATTTCACAGTTTCTCTACATTTGGCTGTGTAAGCAATCCAAGCACCCTTGGAAGACGGAAAATGCTTGAAGATAAATAGGTGTTACTAATGAGTTTTCGAGCACTGACGATAATGGCCAGCGCACGAGCCCTATGTCCCCCTTTTCCGCGCGATCAGTCGAACTGGCGAGCGTTGCTGAGAATTCATTGTTTTTGTTCGTACTCGGTGTATCTGTGTTTCGCTGAGTCTAATTGTTAACTTAGATGTCTCGTGTCCCTTACCCTGCCCCCAGGAACGGAGCGGTGGCCACGAGAGAGAAGTCGGGCCGAGTCTAAATGAGTCTCAGAAGACAAATGAAGCCTCATAGCTAGCCGAGTTGGCAGCTTTTCAATGGAAGCTGAAATCGAAGAAGCTAGAGATGGAAGCCAGGCTTCGATGGTGTGTGGACGGAGTGTGCTATTGGGAAGGGAAATCTTGGCGAGAGCTAAGGCTCTTGTCAAGAACACAATCGTTCAAGGCTGGCTAACGGGCGGGCGGGCAGGCGGGCGGGCGGGCGATCGGCTGCGGCGGCGGCGGCGGCGGCGGCTACTGATCACTATTAACCTACATTCACCCTCACGAAGTTACCGGAACAACAACAATCATCATCAACATCACTACACCAACGACAACAATAACGGGAACAATAGTATCAATAACATGCACCATAGCAACAACACTACCATGGAATGTAACACTTGTTACATCACAATTCGTTTTGTTACTTAAATGGTGACGCCGCTACACGAATTTATACTTGCCAGAGGTGACGATCACCGATCTGACAGATGATGTTCCCGCTTAAATCCGGCCGACAAAATGCTCACATTTTACCTTGTGCATCATGCCACCTTGGTTAGTTTATCGTTACCAATAAACTTTACATATTTTAGGTCTAAAATGTAAAATGTGCCTGAAGATTATGCACATTTCTAGATCTATTAATTTATACAGATGTACACGTGCAAATAGTAAATGTAGACCATAACCAAAATAGTTGTTGGGACAGTTATAATATTCAGTTTGTTATCATCAGTAATATTCATTGTCGCAGGCCCACATATCTCGTGTGACTCATCTCTCTACGTGTTCAAAAGCAGGTTTTCATCAAAGTCAGTTAAAGTGAAATATAGTTACGGACTTGAGGTCAACGTCTGCAGAAATGCAGAAATTAAACGAATTTCTAAGCGAACGAACAAAGCATTTTTTATGTTCGATCTTGGAGGTGTTCTCACTGCAAATTGGCATGTAACTCTGTGATGCTGGCCGGTTATAATGCACTAATAATATGCGAAGCTAAACGGCACTAACGGACGTGACAATTGCGTTAGTCATCTTATCGATGTTCGAACGGGCTTACGGTTGCGTCGACCAACATCCTTCGTTGCGCCTTCGAAAACTAACGTTCAGGGGTCCAGGTGCAGATTCTATAATTCACAAGTTTGCTGGTAGGATAGAACTCGCGAAATATTCGTGACATTGCAAAAAAAGAGTCTAAAGATCCAAAGTTAGCGGTAGGTGTGCGGCAGCATGATGCGAAAGCGACACTCATTTGAATAGTGGAAAAATTCGCTATTAAGCTATTGCAGATACATGCAATGCATCTTAGTCGGTCCATCCAAAAACTAAGGAAAACATAAGCAGCACAATATACGGGTCACGCACGCGCTGTATGCATATATTTCTGGTACAAATGTTAAACGACCCTGCAATAGTACTCCATAATAGTGTAACTGTACCAAAAAGAGACGCAAACAAGTTCAATGTCGTTGAAGCGACAGTAATGAATCTGCACCTTGACAGAGCGAACGCTGTCTGTACACTTTGCAGACGAAAATTAAGAGGGCCGTATAACAATCAGATCACTGATGTCTGCAGCAAAGGCAGTCAGCGAGTGTATTCGCTACAATAACAACATGCTTCGTAATAGGTCTCATGAGAAAAGACCACGAAAAACTAAATAACTTCCGCCCCGTGATAATAACTTGCCACTTGGACCGTGGTTGCGGCTATGAGGACTTAGTTTCTAGCAACCAACTAGATCGTACTCGATATCTGCTTGCGATCTATATATAGATCTAATATCTATTGTTTGATTCCTTCCCAACTTAGCACTCTCCGCCACATATTATCAAGTGATTCGATGCTGAACACGATATTGTCGTTGATGTCGATAATAATGATGATTATGATAACCTGCCTGATTCATTATTTTTTTCTTCTACCGTTATTCATGGGACGCTTTACTTTATTACGGTACTGAATATGCGCTTAGTGTTGCTCATTTTTGGTTTTGTTTTGTGGTTCTGTTTACGTATATTCGGTTGGTGACTCTAAACTCTGACCTTGTTTCACGATAATCTTGCTATGGCCACATGCGCGTGGTAGGGGTGCTCGAAGGAAACTGTTTGAACCTGGGCATAACGAGCAACTTTGAGCGGAACAAGTAGCAGCAACAGATGTTACAAAAGAAAAGCAAATTAAAGACGATACGGGGTCTATGATAAAGCTGAGTAAGCAAAAATAGAAAAGCGTGGACCATAATCTCGAAACTGTCAACAATAATACCGCTATTGAGGTTCAGCGATGGTATCGTCAAGCAATAACAACAAAGGTTCAGACACTATTCCATTCCAGTTTTATTAAACATGTAACGAAGTAGTAGTAAATATGTAACGTTGCTTGGTAATAATGATATGACGTAATAATGGTCGCTTTATAAGACGTATGGCTAGCCGAACGCGCCTCGTGGGACGATGGCGAGCTTGATCAAACCTTTCCTTTTCTAGTCTATTCAACTGAGAATTCCGTACATCCTTTATTCTTATCCTGAAGTTGCAATTATTTAATATTTCGTACCGCAGTAAGTTAATTGGTGTTGCCGGCCGTTCCAATACGTAATAAATAACAATATTGTCCAGTCTACATAAGGCAGAAAAGGCGAAAAATAACTGATTAATGGTTGTCACAGTTCGCAGAAGGTGGGACGAGGGAAGAAAGCACATTTATCCCACGAACGAGGCAGTTAGTTAACGAGGCAGCCTGTTACCTAGTCTAAGAGAAGTGTGGCATCACTCGGGTGTCCTAAGTTAAAGGCCTTAGTTCCTTATGAGTGTAGCCTTTTAATAGAAAGCCACGTTACGGCCAACATTTACGACAATGGTACATATAACGTGGGCAAATATTCCTTACTTATTTTCTATGGCGTCAAAGATCTGGAATTCCTCTTTCAGTTTCTAGACTCTTCCGAATTACATTTCTCCCAGATTCAGCGGGCGCGATGATAAGCCAACCAAGCTCGACCAAACTTGCGCCGTAATATATTTCTACCATATTTTCCGCTTTTTTTTATTATTTATCATGTAATAAGCAAATACTGGATTGACCTATCTATGTATTTACCCAATAATATGTTCCTTCTATCTAATTTGATTTAGGTCCTCACATCCATGAATTATCTGCTCAGTTATGATATTGATGTGCGAGACAGTGATTATCATTTCATCATGTCATTGAAGTCATTCTTATATAGTTTTGCCGAAGTAATAATAGCTAGTAATAATAATAATGAGTTGCGAATGAATAGGAATAGACAGGAGAACGAAGCACAAAGCAGTGAGGAATAAGGTATATAAAGATAGTTCTCTTATAATAGTCTAAACCGGTTATCAGCGATCACACAAAAAAGGTATCTAGGCTTGAGTGGCCTAACGAGTCTGATTCTTGAAGATAAGCGATATTATAATGAAGTCTGGATGAATCTATTGAAGCAATACAACTTTAAAGATTTGTCGTTCCCGCATATAGCTATATGATTACACACGCAAGTACACACACACACACACACACGAACACCAATAACTGTATTATTATAGAAATTACGTAATGACTTGGAGAATGTTATCTACTTCGTGGTCTCTATATAATGATAGTAATCTGACTTTGTCAGTTTATGCTGAAGCACACACACACACATACACACTCAACTATTCGAACTGAGAGATAGCATAATCTTGCAGCGACGACCGCCAACAATTTTGAAGATGAAATTTGCTGTTCTATGTATTATCTGGGGTGATACCCAGAGGAATATTTTACCTCCAAATGCTGCAATTTGAGCTTGCTTTAAAGGCCCACCGAAATACATAGGTATAATAAGGCTCATATAAATAAAATTTCGCAGTTCATTCATGATGAAGTGGATTATTCTTCAATTATTCTGTTGCAAAGTGTGCTATTCTATGACGGGGATTATTGATTCCACCGGTTTGCTAGAGGATAGTACATATTAGTCCATGACCCGCTAAGTAAGCATAAGTACATAAGAAAGTGATAATCGACAGACCTACATCGAATGGATTTCAATAATTAAAATGTGTTGCCGAACGTCGCATAGACACTTTTCAGTAAGGTCGATGACGATATAGCTCCTCATAAAAATATAATTATAATGTAGTTGATTAAATATACTATAGGATCTGATGCAATATCTAGCATGCAATTAAACATAGTAGTGAACTTGAATAGTCGTTAAGAACGGATCAGCCAATTGATATAACATGCTGATGATAATATAAAGAATAAAGTTTAAACACCAACTGAACACTAAGAAAGTGTCATTATTTCAATTAATTTAGAACTTTACATGAAGAGATTACTCTATGACACTGTGACTTGAAATAGTTTCGTTGATGGTGTATGACAGCACTCGACTGGAGCTAAGTAAAATTAGATATGATTTGCATGTCTATATATCTATTGTACCAAAACACGTAATGAGCCGATACAACACTGGCCTTGCCTATGAAGATTGTTACTACATTAAATTAAGATGATCCCGGTAACATATGACTGTAATGCTTAATACTAAATAAGTTAGATTTTGACCTACTTGCAAAGCGATTCATTTACCCATTACTAGTTCTCTACTAAGGGTTGCACATAATACTAATTATGATAAAGCAATTTTTCTCAGTGGATTGCGTACGAAACAGATACTCGAATATTCGTTCTCGAATTTTCAGTTTTTCTATTAACATATGATGAAATGTGTATTGGTGTACACTGGAAACCGCAACGTATATTCTTTACACATTCGTAAGATGAGAAACACTGACATCTTTGGTCAAATTTACCGAAGTACGCCCTCGGTGTCTTTCAATTACCGACTCTCCGAAGATTATACCATCTTCACAGAAGGAGGAGCTTGGAGCTACATTACAATCTGTGCACGCGAATCGTCTGTTGAGTTTTTTTACATCCGATTAAATTAATTTATTGATGACTACTATTGGTCCAGCAAATTCTTACAAGCCGCCTGCAAGGAAAAGTCTGAAGGTTTGGTCCACACAACTCTACGATTATTATACGATCTGACGGATGGATACTTAAGTGATTAATACAATAGCAAACCGATTTCGATACATAGTACCTAATCAAAATTTAACTAGTACTAATCGATGAATGGGAGGCAAAAATGAACGTTCGCTAACTGAATTGAGCTAAGGGCAATGGTCGCAAAAATTGAGAGTGGATGCATGCTACACTTCATATGTTTCGTTTTTTTTTGGTCTGCTTTTCTTTATTGGAAAAATGCTATTTGGTTGCTAATAGCCGGATAAGCACTTGCAGCACATCATCATTATGCCAATTAGCGTCATAGCTTTTGAAGTTAGTAAAAACCGTATTTAATTGCATATAT